CTATGAATGCAACCTTGTTTGGAAATAGGGTCTTAACAGATGTAATTACTTAAGTTAACATGAGGTCATATTGAAGTAGGGTAGGCCCTAATCCAATGTCTGGTGTCTTTATAAATGAAGAGCAAAGACATGGACTCAGAGGGAAGATGGTCACTTGAAGATGTCGTCTGAGACTAGAGTGATGCAGGAATGCCAAGGGTTGCCAGGGACCACCTGAATCAAGGAAAAGGCAAGAGAGGATCTTCTCCTAGAGCCTTCAGAGAATGCATGGCCTTCCAACATCTTGATTTCAGACTTCTAGGCTCCTGTCCGTGAAACAATAAATTTCGGTTGTTTTAAATCACCCAGTTTGTGACACTATGTTTGGGAAGCCCTAGAAAACTAATGCAGTGTCTTCAGGGTTCTCTCCCAAGCTTCTCCAGAAAATCTGAGTCTCTGCCTAGAGGACATATGCTTGGCTACCAGCATTCTGGAAGCCAACTTGGGGGAGAAGCCTAGGAGGTCAACATTTCTTATGTAAAGTTTCACTTTTTCAGTCTTGTATTTTTATTATCAACTGTGTATACCTAGTTTCCCCTAACCAGATACTCTATGTTTCACTCCCTCCAGGGAATAAACTTCCAATCCTTTGCCACATTTGGGAAAGGACAGTCATCTAGCTATGGAAAGTGTGGAAGGAGGTCTAGTGTTCTTAAATAGATTTTCAACCCATCCTCTTCATTTTAGTCTCATTTTATTCCATTTTCATGAGCTCTGATGACATTGTGGTTAAAGCATTTGGCTGCTAACCAAAAAGTTGGTGGTTCGAACCCAACAGCAGCTCCACAGGAGAAAGATGAGGCAGTCTGCTTCCATAAAGATTTACAGCCTTGGAAATCCTATGGGGCCATTCTACTCTCCTGTAGGGTCACTAGGAATTGAGATTGACTTAATGGCAGTGGGTTTATTCCATTTACAGAAGTAGCTCTCACTGCTGGTTTCTGTCTTTGGGCACTCTACCACAAAAATCCTGTTACTTCTTCCTTTTCCCACTTGCTAGCTTAGGACTCAGCTTTCCCAAAATTGCTTAATCAGTTACCAATGAACCATCACTTTCCAGTTTCACAATTTCATTGCTATTGTCACTTCTTCCATTCTCTTTGACTCCATTGGCTTATACCTTTTCGGAATATCTCTTTACTGTCTTTCTAGGGGCTTAGATAAGAGGATGGAGGTGAATATTATCATTCTCTTCTCTTTAACTAGAAGCCCAGGAGTAGTTCTTGGTTTTAAGAAACTAACAAGTTGTGGGATCACATTTAGTTTGAAAAATATGGACCACAAACCTCCCATGAAAAATCAAATTTTCTACAAAGAAAGATTGTCAAGTGATACAAACCTATGTAATCTTCCTTTTAGGAAAAAAAAAAAAATGAGTGTAAGGCTTCTGTCATTTCAGAAACTTTTGACTTCATGCTTCTAAATTACCCAGAGAGTCTGATAATCACAGCTCTGCCCCTTCCAGCCTCCCATTTCCCTTAAACTAGAGACTCCTCAATCCATTTCCATTAGCCTTTTAATATTTTGCAATAAACGCTTTCAACTGGGCAAAATACACTTCATGCTTTCCTCTTTGTTTATTGGTCTATCAATAAATATACAAAAATCAGAGAATGTGGTGTGAAAAGGCAAAGTAACAGTGGTCCTCATACATGCATCAATAAGCTATTTTTAAAAATATTCTTAAAAATATATTTTAAAAAGCCTACACAAGTGATTTGCAAAAAGACATTCTTATGACACAAAGGTGAATGATCACGCTATTTCTTTTCTTAAGTACATTTTAATCTCCAAAAGAACACAGGGGCTCCCTCTTTTCCACTCCTCAGTTGCATTGAATGAACCTTGGCTATGGAATAAATTCTTGGTGTCATGGATCTCAGTGTAAAACTTTTTGAGAGGTCCTGCTGGAGAAATTCATTCTGCAAGGCTAGAATCTGCAAAATACGGATACGAAGGTGTGTGTTGTCCCATTTGACTTTTCACCCAGTGCCGATTGAAGAAACATCCTCAAGAGGCACAAGTGATCTACAATTGCAGGAAAAATTACATATGAAGCTTTGCAAATTAGTTAAAAGCCAAAGCCTTACTTCTACCAACAAGGCCCAGGTGATATAACAGTTAACAGGCTTGGCTCCTAATCATAGTCCACCCAGAGATGCCTTGGAAGAAAGGCCTGGTGATCTACTTCCCAAAAAAACAAGCCACTGAAAACCCTATGGGGCAACAATTCTTCTTTGACACACATGGGATCACTATGAATCAGAGTTGACTCGGAATCAGAACAACTGACTACTGGTTAATAACTAAGTCCAGGTCACCTGGCAAGTCACTGGTAAAAATGATGTATAATCAGGTTGCACTTCTATAGTTATGCCATTATGTTACATAGATGAGAAAATACCAAATTCCACGAACTTCAGGAAATACTGCAGGGGTATTACAAGATTGGGCAGCTTTCCACTAGAGAGTCAGAAACAATAGACCTCCCTTATTCTTATCTTGTAAACACAGAAGTATCCAAGTAAAGGATAATAATAACAATAACAAGAAAGGTCATATCCAATTAAAAAATAATCTATCTCAATCTCTTTATTTGGGGATGCCTGGAAGAGGTAGAAAATCATCCCTTGCTATGAGACTTGTATTACTTACTATCCATGGTCCCAGAATCTAGAGGACAGGTAGAAGAGCCTCATGCAACCCTCCTGAACATGGCCCCAGAGCAGCTCGTGGTGTCTGGACCCACCAGCCTAAGTGAGCCTGTCTGGTCTGCAGGAAAACTAGGGAAGCTCTTGGAAAGCTGGGAGAATTTTAATATTAATGGTAGCATTGCAATGCTAGAATCAGAGGGACCTGATGTGTGTTTTCTTTCAACTAGGGGAAGAAAATAGAGAGAAAGCCAGACAGATGATTATGAAATTGGCCAATGATATTCAGAGAGGAAGAGATAGGAGGTTTTTTTAAAGCCAACGGAGGGGGAAAGAGATAGGGGCAGTAGAGGCTGGGCCAGAGTGCACAGAGGGGGCATCTCTTCTTTCAATTGTATCTTTCAGAATCAATCTTTGTGTAAGTCCTGCCCTAAGACATGTGGGAGCTTTTCACTTTTCTCTCTCTTTTTTTTTTTTTTTTTGTGGTCTGAGGAACGTTCCCTGTTAATCATATCAGTTTAGGAGACAGGTGACTTTTTATGGCTGCCTAAGGAAGGACGTCCAGTTTTATAGGAACAATTACATTATAGATTCAATCTCTTCTGCTGCCTTCAGAAGTTCCAGGACCAACGGAGTCTGCTGACTGATGCGTAAAGACCACAAAGGACTTACCAAGTGGGGGAAAACATGAGGTCTGAACATAAAGCCAGTATTTTCTTGTTTTGCTATAAATCTATGATTCCAATTGTGGGAAACCCTGTAAATTTTTCAGGGATTCCCCAGGCACTTAACTTACCCTGAGTAGCAACTGCATCAGGGATTGTGGAGGCAACAGGCTTGTAAGTATAAATAAATAAAGAGAGCCATACAAATACTTGAACAAGATTTACACTCCCCCCTCATCCACCTCTGCCAATCCATTCACCACTGAGTATACTCTTTCATTTACATTGGCTTCTCCTTTCATTACAAGAGGTCCAAAGGCACTTTTGTATTATTCATAGACATCACTAACAGGGTCAGCATCTATGAAATGGGAGTCCACAAATGGTAGGTCATGCAAATTTAATTTGACTTTTCAAATCCCTTCTGGGGGAGACAACAGGTGGCCATTAAAACACAAAAGTTGTTTAAGCTCCTCCTATCACAATGCTAGAAGCTCTGGTGGCGTAGTGCCTAAGACATTCAACTGCTAACCAGAAGGCTGGTGGTTCAAACTCACCAGCTACTCCTTGGAAGGAAGACTGGGCCATCTACCTACGTAGAGATCGTCTCGGAAAACCAAGGAGGGGTTGCTATGAGTCGGAGTCGACTTGATGGCAGTGAGTTTTGTTTTTTTGTTTTTCTCACAATGCTGGTTTTAAGGTGGGACAGAAAGCCTTTGGACAGCCCCCAGAAATAAAATAGCGCTGTCTTCCTAGATCTTCTGTGAGACTTGGCTGAGTAAGCTTGAGTGGGGGGTCTAGGCTCCCCAAGATGAAGACTTTCAAGGAAAATCATTCTTACAATTTCTTTGATTGGCTACAGGGACCCAGACTTTACTGTTTAGAAACTGAAGGATCACAGCGCAAAGAGTTCAGGTGGCAGAAGTAGAGATGTTTATTATAAATCAGCTTAAGCCCTCTTATGCCTCTGAGAAAGTAATGTTAAAAAAAAAAACAAAAAAAAAAACATACTTATCAAAGGACCTCCAGGGTTTAATATTTCAAAAACACAGATAAATAGCTTACTACAGATAAATAGCTTCACCCTATGGGTGTCTCCCAGAAGCATCTGAAAATTTTCCAGGGGTTTGTAGAAGGGGATGTGTAACCAGTACATCCCGATCCCCTACCACAGTGGTAAGCAATGCCCAGGGATTGGGCTGTAGAAGGGCAATATGGACCCTATGTAATTTCCTCCCAGAGACCAATCCCTCTTCGCCCTCAGAAGTATTATTAGCAGGTAGTTGCTGCCTGGGAGATGGGGTAGAGGGAAGGCTGGAGATTAGGAAGATGTAGTTGTGACTTTTGTTAGAAACCATCCATAGCTCACCTAAATGGGTGAGAGGCCTCTAGGTGGGAACTGGAACAGTCAATTTTGTGCCAATTATTAATTGGACCCTCATTTCAGAAGGCAATGCTGATTTTATAAACTGGACTTGACTTAAAAAAAAAAACACAAAAAACAAAAAAGAGTAGAAAATTTTATGCTAAAAAGATCCCAAATAAAACAATCAGTAGCATTTTACATCCGTTAAGTGTTAGTCCCAGCTCCCTGAAATGATGAAATCTCTGACTGTTGTTTCTTTCTAAGGTGGTGGGGCAGGTGTTACACCCCAATCTTCATGTCCACATTCTGCAGGTTTCGTGTCTCATCAGCTGTTACGAACTGGTCTGGGGTCTCTGATGACTCTTTGTTCACCAAATGCACCATTTCCTGAGACTTGCTGGCCTCTCCATTGAGCCCACTTGGCTTTCTGTCTTCCACAGCTCCACTGCCATTTATCACCAGCTTTTTCTTCTGTCCACACCTAATAATAATAATAATAATAATAAAGCATATGAGAAAATGGTGCAAAGACATCATCATCATCATCACTAAAGTTGATGATGGTCTTACTATGTGCTCAGTGCTTTCTCCACTTCATGTGACTGGCTCTTAAAAACCAGTAGCTTTCAAAGTAAGGTCCCTGGACCAGTAATGAAATTCTCACTGGGGAAATTGTTAGAAATGCAAATTCTCAGCCACACCCCAGAGCTAACCCCCCAAAAATAAATAAATAAAAACCAAACTCACTGCTGTTGTATCCCACTCATAGTGACCCCTCCTTGGTTTTCTGAGGTAGTATCAGTATGGAAGTAGATTGCCCAACCTGCTTTCCCAGGAGTGGCTGGTGGGTTTGAACCACCAGACTTCTGGTTAGCAGTCAAGTGCCTTAGGCACTACGCCACCAGAGCCCCTACTGAGTCACAAAAGTCTAAGGGTGGAGACCAGGATCTGTGATGTAGTGCCTAAGGCGTTTGACTGCTAACCAGAAAGCTGGCAGTTCAAACCCACCAGCCACTCCTCTGAAGGAAGACTGGGCAATCTACTGTAGAGCTACTGCCTTGGAAACCCAAGGAGAGGTCCCTGTGACTCACAATTCACTAGACAACAGTGAGTTTGGATTTTTTTTAGAGGCATTCTAATGCATATTCAAGCTTGAGACTCAGTGATCACAACCACCTTGTGGGGTGGGGAACTCCCTGCCATAAAGTTGATTCCAACTCATAGCAACCCCTTTTGGGGTCCAGTCTTCCTTCTCCCAAGGGGCTTGTGGGTTTGAACTGCTAACCTTCTGGTTCACAGTCCAATGCCTTGGGCACTACACCACCAGAGCTCCTCCACTTTGGGAAGCCAGTGCTATTATTATCCTTCTTTTACAGGTGAGAGGGGCTCTGCTGGTATAGTGGTTAATGCATTCAGCTGGTAACCAAAAGGTTGGCAGTTCAAACCCACAAGCCTCTCAGGGGGAGAAAGATGAGGCAGTCTGCTTCTGTAAAGACTGACAGCCTTGGAAATCCAATGGGGCAGTTCTACTTTGCCCTGTAGGGTTATTGTGAGTCAGAATTGACTCAACAGTGGTGGGTTTGAGTTTACAGGTGAGGAAACCTCAGGGCTAGAAAATTCAGTGACTTGTCCCAGCTCACTCAGTAAGTAATAAAAGAGTCAGCATTCAAATCCTGGTCTGTCTGACTTCCAAGTTCTAATTCTCCTTCTACCATACCAGTTAATGGAAATGTTTCCCTACTGATAAGACCTTTAGTCATTTCTACATGCTTACATAAACCATCCACATGATGACTATAAATCATTCTAATTTGTGTACTCAAGAAAGTCACACTACTTCTTCTCCCAGTGAACACTTTGTTGGCCTTGTCAGGGTTATTACTGAATGTAAGCAGAAGAATAAAACAACATTCTTCTAGAAGTATAAGGCCATATTGATTTTTCCCTAACATTGGTTAACTTCTATGCCACCCATATTTAGGCAGTTTAAGTACATAAGACAAATTGCTCACTGTTACTTAAAGGTTTCTCAGTAACATTACTTAACATTACTTAAGATTCAAATGAGGAAGAAAGTCTTCCATGGAAGAGCAGCATGACTTTTATCTTATCCCTGGCACAGCATTGCCTTACCCCACCCAGACTGATGCAATGCTTCCTCTTTCCTGTAACATGATCACTGCTTTACATACAGGAGTCTGACTGTGCTTAACAGAAGCAAAGTTGCAGAGCCTCACTATTACAAGGGGATGGGGAAGAGGAGAAATGGGTAAGCATTTATCGGACACCTCCTGAGTGCAGACACTTTACATGTGATTTCATGCAATCCTTCTAATACTCTCAGAGCAAAGAAGGAGGAAGAAAAGCAAAGATGCATGGAAACAATTAGTCCATTATACAGCAGTGGGAACTGAGGCTCACAAAGGTTGGATAACTTGCTTGAGGTCACACAGTCAATAACTGAGAGAATCATAATTTAAATGTAGGTTTTAATGGCCAAGGCCTGGGGCTGTACCAGGTCTATCAAGGCTGCCAACTATCCAGATATTTGAAAACAGTATGAAGTTGGAACTGCTCACTTTGCTGCTAGATATTTGGAGCTGGGGAGACAAAGACAAATAACAGAGGTTATTCATGATCACGGACCATTTCCTCTAGAGTTGCCAAGGTCATAAATGTTAATCTCTTGTTTTGGGAAATAAAAAGTATACCTCCCTAGCAGGAGGTATAACCTTTCTCCTCTGGCATGATACTTGATGAGGGGTGCAGAAAGATACTTGAACCATGGAGCAGATTCAGGGGGGCTGGGAGTATGGATGGAGACCACATAGACATAGAGCACATGGTTGAGACTAAGGGCTTCAACACAGAGAGGTGCATAAGAGGTACAGACAACAAAGATACACACTTTTACATACACAACACTGCAATCAGTAATAACCGACATCAATCTATGGGTAGATACATAGACAGACTGATCAGGTATGTGTAGGCAAAAGGGAATATATCCATGACCATATGTAATGTTGGCAGACAATATTTCTACATATATATTTGTATGTGCTGTAAGAATGTCCATATAAATAGAACTAATGGGGCAAAGTTATTACAACTTCTTAGCCACAGCCAACCACTCTGAGGGAGCAAATTATTGGATCTGTGGCCTTGGGACCATGGTCATGGCAAGCATTGAGTTCAATTGGCTTAACATGTTGTTGTTGTTGTTGTTATTTGCTGTCGAGTCGGCCCCGACTCATAGCGACCCCTCCTTGGGTTTCCGAGGCAGTATCACTACGGAAGTAGGATTGCCCAACCTTCCTTAACATACTACACAAAAACACTGTTCTATGTCTTACTCTGGTGAGTAATGACCAGAGTCTTAAAAGCTTGCAAGCAGCCATCTAGATGCAACTGTTGGTCTTTCCTCATCCAGAGCAAAGAAGAAGGAAGAAAAGCAAAGATGCATGGAAACAATTAGTCCAAGGGACTAAACTTGGACTTTATCAAAGTCTATATGACATGAGACCAGAAGAACTAGATGATGCCCAGCTATAACTGCCAACCACTTGGAGAGGGATCAGTGCAGGAGATCCTGAATAGAGTGGGAAAACAATGTGGAGCAAAACTCAAAAATCATTAAAAAAAAAAAAAAAAAGACCAGGCTTACTGGTCTGATAAAGACTGGTGAAACCCCCTGAGACTATGGCCCCTAGTCACCCTTCAGGCCTGGGACTGAACTCACACCCAGGCTTCCAGTCAAACAATCAAACAAAACCAGAAACCAAAGGCATTGCTGTCGAGTTGGATACAACTCATAGCGACCCCTCCTTGGGTTTCCGAGGGGGTATCACTACAGAAGTAGATTGCCCAACCTTCCTTCTTAGGAGCGGCTGGTGGGTTTGAACCGCCAGCCTTCTGGTTAGCGATCAAATGCCTTAGGCACTATGCCACCAGAGCTGCTAGCCAAACAATAGACAGGCATGTAAGGTGAATATTTACAACAGGTAGGTACACTCCTCAGAACAATCAATCAGGGGAGATAAGACAGGCAGTATTTGCACAAGGAGAAAGCTCAGAGGGCAGGAAAGCATAGGAAAGAAGGACACAGGGAAAAGGTAACTACACGGAGAAAGTGGGAAGAGAGCTGTTACATTATGGGAATTGCAGTTAAAAGTCATGAAACAAAATGTGTATGAACTGTTGTATGGAAAATGAATTTGCTCTGTAAACTTTCACCCAAATCACAATGGAAAAGCATTGGGAAAAAAAAAAAAAAAAAAAGAGTGGGGGCTTCAAAGGGCTGGTTTTGACTCCTGACTGACTTCCCACTTCACCTGCTCTGTGACCTGGGAAAACTCACTTAACTCCTCTGAGTCTGGGTTTTCTTAACTCTAACACTGGGTATTTAAGGATATCAATCTACAAGATCATGTAAAGTCCTTGAAACAGAACCTGGCATTCAATAAATGAGTCTATTATTGTTATTACTTAGCTGTTCTTATAAATGGTGGGTGGTGAGGAAACTAAGGCCTTGGACAGGTATCTAGAACAGTATCTGCAAAATACTAAGTGTTCAAGACAAGCTAGCTGTATTGTTGATATGAAAGCCATATAAGATAAGTTTTTCTTGTTTCTTCTGACTGCCTCCACCTACCTTGCTACATTTACTAAGAAGTTGATTTGAAAGGCCTAATACTGCTTGTATTATTTCAAATCCTCAAGTGGTATCTGTATGCTCTGGAGAAAATCTGTCTTATTAAAGTAATTCTGCTTTACCTACCTAACAGGTAAGATTTTGCGGGAAAGTGATTTAGAAGCACAGAAATTGTCTGTGCATGGGGAAAGGATTAATGTTATTAATCTAAATGAAGCTGATTTTACAAATGGGTAACATTGGACCCATTTAACAGAGGAATTCAGAAGGAAGATTGGGCATACTGTACTTGGGCTTACTCTTACCCCCATTTCTCTTTGGATTTATGTGTCTCTGTTATCTGTTTGACTTGATGGCACATAACAACAACAACAACAAATTATCTGTTTGTGCTTTTTTCAGAAGGGCAGGATTTTTTTCATAAATTATCAGTGCAATGATTAGTGTTCCAGGCATTTAATAAGTACTTTTGAAAAACAAGTTCTAATTTTTTCATTCTTCTTTGTTATAGGAGTTAAGAAGTGAATATCAGAGCTAAAGGTACTTCAGAGATCACCCAACTCACACTCTTCATTATGTAAAACAGACACTGAGTGCCAAGAGGGCAAGGATATGGTCCAAAGTCACACACCTAGGCATGGCAGTGCCTAAACTACAACCGATTTTCTGTCTCTCAGGATCAGTGGACTTGCCAAACTGCAGCCTCCTTTTAGTTCCTTTTCCCATAAATTCCAGGTGTGAGCTGAGCATGTAGTGACCACACAGTGTGGAGGAAGCCAGATTGGAGCCTTGCCAGTACATGCTGGGCAGTCTGTATGGGGTTTTTGTTGTTGTTATGTGCCGTGGAGTCGGACCCAACTCACAGCGACCCCTCCTTGGGTTACCGAGGCAGTATCACTACGGAAGTAGATTGCCCCATCTTCCTTCTGAGGAGTGGCTGGTGGGTTTGAACCACCAGCCTTCTGGTTAGCAGTCAAGTGCCTTAGGCACTATGCTAGAAACTAGGTAACATACATTTAGGATGTGGAGGATTTATCTGGAAAGACTTGGGGGCTACTTAACAACTGACCTCATAACTCTTCTACCTGACAGTCCTTAGAGATATTTAGTGGTAAATTTTACATTGATTTAGAGTTGTGTCATCTAATAGAGTAACCACTAGTCACACTGGGCGATTTAAATTTAAACTAAATAAAATTAAATTATAAGTTCTTTAGTTAAACTTGGGAGCTCTGGTGGTGTAGTGGATAAGGCATTTGGCTGCTAACCAGAAGGTCAGCGGTTCAAACCCACCAGCCACTCCACTCTGTGGAAGGAAGATGGGGCAATCACTTCCATAAAGATTCACAGCCTCAGAAACTCAATGGGGGTCGCTGTGAGTTGGAATCGACTCAATGGCAGTGAGTTTGGGTTTTTTGGATTGGTTAGTCAAACTAACCACGTGCCAAGTGCTCAGTGGCCACAGGAGGCTAGTAATTATCACACTGGCCAGAGCACATGCAGAACATTTCCATCACTGCAGAAAGTTCTATTGGACAGTGCTGTTCTAGAGGGCAGAGCATTTAGGTGAGCATAAAGTACAGGGAATTAGACTGTAGCTTAACAGAAGGATGACATTTCTAAATCATAGAGTTCTACAGATGGAGCTTCCCAGGCAATGGGTGACTGCCCACTGGGGTTTTCAGAAAAGACATTTGTTACTCTGATGGTGAAGCTGATGAAGGACTTTTCTGCATAATCAATGTGGAAACATCCTATCATTTCTGTTGTGTGAAGCCTTCTCTGGTAAGGTCTTCACATTTGTTCTACTCTTCACATCCTTCACATAAATTATTTAAGGGAAGATTGCCTAAGTTCTCCTCTTGGACCTCACTCAATCTCTACCAACCCAACTAAAATAAATTGCTTTTCTTAAGGAGAATAAATCAAATATGGTTTCTATTGAAAAGCTGTGATTCAAGAACACTGGTTATGTGATGGGAGCAGAAAGAATGTGGTTTATGGCAGGGATGGCAAACACAAAGGAATAATCAAAGCCAGTTGCTCTCGAGTGGACTCTGAGTAACGGCAGCTCCAAATACGTCCGAGTAGAACTGTCCTGCACAGGGTTTTCAATGGCCTATTTTTTGGACATACACTGCCAAGACTTCCATCGGAATTGCCTCCAAGTAGGCCCAAGTACCACCCAGGGACTCCAAAGAAATAAATGTCAAAAAAACAAACCCATTGCCACTGAGCCAATTCAGACTCATGGCGACCCCACGTGTCACAGATGAGAACTGCTCCACAAGATTTTTTTGGCTGTAATCTTGACAGAAGCAGATCACTGGGCCTTTCTTCCTCTGAGGTGCTGGATGGGTTTGAACTCCCAACCTTTAGGTTGGTAGTAGAATGCAAACCATTTGCACTACCCAAGGACCATAAACAACTCATAGAACCTTATCCCCTCCCCCAAATCAGGATCTTTAAGATGATGTGACTCACAGATCACTTTACTATGGAGGCCCTAGGTCACTCTTGTAAGTCAACGTTAGTGACTAACATTTTCCCATTTCGTCTTTAAACCACAGAGTATGTACCCAAAAAATTTTAGCTGACTCAAATTTAACAGGCAAGCACTGCCACTGAATCTCAAGATTCTTTTAAGGACAAGATGGTGACCTTTTTGTTTTTATCTTGTCTTCCTCGCCAGTGCTGATGATCCTAGGTGCCACTCAAAAGATGTTTGCTGAATAAATGAATGCCTATTGCAGTCCCCTATTTTTAACCAAACTTCCTTTGATAAAAGTAGGATACTGTGTTGTTCTTAAACATAATGCTCAAAGAGAAAGGATCCAGCCTTTTAAGAGGATTAGAAATGGTCTAGAGGCTTTAGAAACAAATTGAACATTAGTGCTGCTGTTAACCACCCTTTAGCTGCGTGGCAAATCTGTTTTCAATCAGCAAATCAGGACATAGTAATTTATGGCATCCAAGCAGCTACTTTCCTGATGAGACACTTTCTGTGCTGGATCCTGCATGTTCTTGTTTGCCTGTTGCTAGGGAGCTCTGGTAGCATAGTGGCTAAGACACTTGCCTGCTAACCAGACGGCTGGCGGTTCAAACCCACCAGCCACTCCTCAGAAGGAAGGTTGGGCAATCCTACTTCCGTAGTGATACTGCCTCGGAAACCCAAGGAGGGGTCGCTATGAGTCGGGGCCGACTCGACGGCACATAACAACAACAACAACAGGGTGACTACTGGTCTTTGGAGAGGGATGAGGCTATGCTGTGAGGTCCCTTCTTTGCTGTGGACGGGACAGAAGGAGACATGAGAGCTAACTGGCCACCCTGCACATATTCCAGCTGTTCTCAGGGACAGCTGAGATGCTTCTCTGAGGTTTCCCCACACACCCCAACAGCATCCTGGGCCAATGTTTCTATGGTGACAAAGCTTATGGAATTGTATATGTGAGCAAAAGTGGTGCATGCCAGGGCGGGGAACAAGAAGGCTGATTTCAAACAATAGGAAATTCATATTTAATTGAGCAAAAGTAATGCAAGGAAAAACAAAGAGGCTGAGGGGACATACAAAGACTCTTTGTGAGGGTTCCCTCAAGTCACACTACTTAAAGTCAACTTAAAAAAACATAAATACATTCTTTCCATCTAGTCATAGGCCTTCCAAGAGGTCTTTCAGATTTCTTTTTCTTCTAGTTTCTGTTTCTTACATAATCAGCCATAATCAGATTAAACGGTTGGTGGTTCAAATCTCCCCAGAGGTGCCCCCAAAGAAAAGCCTGGCAAACTTTTTTTGAAAACCCTAGGGAGCACAGTTTTGCTCTGCACATACGGGTTTGCCATGAGACTCAACAGCAACTATTTGGTTATAACAGTTAGCTCCCTTGACTAATTTATTATTATTATGCTTTCAAAGGTACAGATAGGAACACAGCTTTTTGTCATTAACATTTAATAACTTGTACGAGGGTAAAATGGCATTATTTGATTTCTTTAGATAACCAGAGATATTAATTACATGGGCTGTACATGGCCTTGGAATTAGCTGTTCACTGCTTTCCAAAAGCCAACAGGAAAGATTAGAAAAATCTCTAATTGCCAGATCTGCACTTAAACTAAGGAGCACTGATGGCACAGGGCCTAAGGCATTTGACTGCTAACCAGAAGGTTGGTGATTCAAACTCACCAGCCACTCCATGGAAGGAAGATGGGGCAATCTACTTCCGTAGAGATTTGCCACCTCAGAAATCCAATGGGGTCGCTATGAGTAGGAAGTGACTCCATGGCAGTGAGCTTGGTTTGCTTTTTTGGTTTGCACTCAAACTGAGGGGCATCCTCTGGCCTGTTAGATAATGTAGTGAAACAACAAAGGCAGCCTCCTGTGGATTTGACCTCATAAAAAGGAACATCAAGGGTCATTTACCAAAGGCTTGATTATCCTGTGTATGTGCTCTGAGAAAAATGCTGCATCTCTAACTGGTCTTGCATAGGAAATTTAGACTTAGGCTTTTGGAGTGTCCCCATTAAAGGTCATTTCCTCTGTTGCTAGAATTAGTGTATTCCCTCACTTCACTCTAAGTACCATTATTTCTGGAGGCTTGTCATGGCTCATGCAGGTACGTGTACCATGTAAATAACTTCCACAACTATAAGCCTTGGTTGGTGTAGGGATAAAGGAGAGTCTTTGGGGATGTGATAACAGCCCACATGTGAGTTCTAGAAAGAGGAATGTCTGTTCTTTGTTCAGACTTACCTAAGGAAAATAATATCTAAATCTGCCACAAGTACTCATAATTGTTTTATGGACTTCACTGTCACGGAGCTCTTCCTAGACCATAAATTGAGTCTTTTCAACTACAGCTTCCAGAAAATTGTGTCATTATAGAAAAAAAAAAGACAAAAAGAAAAAGTTTAATGCCTGCTTTACGGAAGAATTCCAGAAGGTTCTGTGGATCTCAGTCAGGTTAAAGAAGACTATGAGCTCCTGAACCTTTATATAATGTTTGTGTGTGCTGTGAATCCATTCAATAAATATTTGTTTAATGAATCAGTAAATAAGTATATATTTCTATACACCTTTCTGGAGAGGTATTTCATAACTTTCATCTGATAGAGTCTCCAGGGGTTTAACCTTGAAAAAAAAAATTAAATACTACAAAACAGTCAGTCAATATTTAAAAGTCATGGTCTAAATAATCCAGGTATCTCCTTTCTTTTCAAAGAACACACCAGAGCAGAGCTTTGCAAACTGTGCCATGCATATGAATGTCTGCGATCTTGTTAAAATGCAGACTCTGATACAGCAGTCCCAGGTCAGGGCCTGAGATTCTGCATTTCTAACAGTTCCCAGGGGTTGCTGGTTCCACAGGGCACACGTGACATTTCCTTACCGTCTTCGACTGTTGACAGCGATGCAAACTGCGAGAATCAAAGCCAGGGCCAAGAGGGATGCCAAGATGATCAGCCATTCTGGGTTGAGTGAACCAAAAAACATATGTGAGCTTTAGAAATACACTTTGTTTAAAAAAAAAAAAAAAAAACTTTATAAATTTAGTTGGCCCACAGAAGAATGACAGTCAGCTCTGCAGATAGGCCTGACCAAAAGGCCCAGCCAACAGGCAGACAATATGGAAAAAATAATTTTGCTTCAGAAGTTTGTCCAAACAGGCCTCTTGTTTTAAATTTTTATCATCAGTCAAGATTTTCAAGTTCTTTTGGGTGAAACTTGTTTCCAAAAAACTGCAGTGACAAAAACTTGGAGATGCATTTGGTGCTTTACTAAATAGACTAAAGGAAATCTGTGCTTCTTGAAAAAAACTTTCCTTTTCTCTATATGAGCATCAACCTTACATTTTATTAAGAAACAAAAATAGAGGCAAAATTCTAGTGTAGTCTAGTATTCTCATGGAGTACTTTAGGAGCTCTAGTGGCACTGTGGTTAAGGTAAAGGACTGCTAACCAAAAGGTCAGTGGTTTGAACCCAACAGCCCTTACACAGGAGAAAGATGGGGTTGTCTTTTATGTAAAGATTTTCATCCCTGGAAACCCTCTGGGGGTTGCCATGAGTCAGAATCAACTCAATAGCAGTGGGTTTGGTTTTGGGTGTACTGAAGGACAGTGAACCTGAACATGGTCACTGAAGAGTCACTTGGGAGCACTTGCCCAAAGCGTTCTTACTTTTGGTCCAGCAGTCACATTTCCAGGCTCATAATTAACTGTTTTGATGCTTATTTACTGTGCTATTTATTACAGGAAAATTTGAAAGTAATCTGATATCCAACAGTATTGGATTGGTTAAATAAATTAGGATATGTCCATTGTATTACATGCCACGATACAAGGGAAGAATATTTAATGACTAGACAGCTGTGCCCAACTAGTATGGAATGTTAGTTTACTAAAGAACATGTATGGTATAAATATATTTTAAAATATAAGTTACATTGAAAAATGACAGGAAGTAAAACAATGAGATAGTACTACATACATTGATCCAAAATGTTGATAGCAACAAATGCTGATCAAAGCTGATGAAGTGACATAACGAGCATTATTACTTTAGCTAATAATAACAATGTATCAATACTGGCTCTAAAATCATAAAAAAATGTGCCACCCTAATGTAAGGTATTAATAATAGGGAAAATTGTGTGGATGGGGAATAATGGGGTATATGGTTGCTCTCCGAACTTTCTGCTTAATTTTTCTGCAAACCTACAAACTGCTTAAAAAAAAAAAAAAGTCTTTTAATTAATAAAAAAAAAAATTACAGGAAGGGAATACATCAAAATGGTAACCATGGTATTTCAGGATGGTGAGATAATAAGTACTTTATATTTTTGTCATTTCATTTGGCTGCATTTTCTAAAATTTCTTCAATAACTTTGTATCACTTATCGGCTAATGTTACACACATATGTTTTAAAATCAGGTCTTAAAAGGTCTTGCCAACTTGAATATATACAGCTGAAAAGTGGATTGCACCTATGTGTCATGAACCAATGCTTGAAGAGAGGAGAAAGATGGGAAGTTGTTTAGTCTCTATTTCTCTTTGGAAATCTCGATCTTCCTTCAGGTTCCTGGTCAGCACTGACTTTACCTCCCCTATACCTTGTTAGGTGAGTTTGGGGCAAGGCTTTGAACCAATTCTTCCTGGTTAAGTCGTGGCTGATGTGAAGCAACACTAGAATGGACCTGAATTTGTAAAATGTGAGTGTACCAGAATGATAACTGGAATGGGAGAAATTATGAGTTGACACCCTTATCTCCCTCTTAGAAAATAAAGGGCAGTGTGTGCATTGCATAGTAACCAAATTCCTTGATCAGCATAGTCAGAAAAAACAGTGCCCAGTTAAAGATGGTGACTGCCCATTCTGCTTTGTATGAGTTTCTTTCCACAGTACTGGCAATAATCCAATCTCCTGCATCATGCTCCTGAAAGGGCTCACTACACCTCTTACGAGTCTCTATTCTGGGGCTTTGACCTCTAATTTTTCCCATTCTGGTTATTGTTCCACTATATTCACATTGTATAAATTTGAGGCTGTTCTGATTTTGCTGTGTTGGCCATGGCTGAAATGGTTCAAACCAGTTTAAATCTCTGGTTTACAGAAGACAGTAGAGTCAGATAGGTGGAGGCCCCAACAGGAGGGTGTCCTTTGTGTTCTCTCCCCCAGTCAGCTGTGGAGATGCCCCCCACTAAGCCTCATTACAGCTGAGAAGAGTCCTACTACATGGTTATAGCAAACTACATCCCTCCCCTCCTGTAAGCCCACTCTCTCTCCATATTCTCTGTCTTCAGATGTGTTCAGGCAAGCCACATTGTTACCGTTTTTCAAGGGAGGATAAGTTATGAGACTTCTAAAGAGAGAAAGGAATTAAAAGAATAATTTGCAACTCTAGGAAAACCCTTCCCTGTTTTGTAATCCCCCTTTACAAATGTTGTTTTGTTCCTAAGCAAAACAAAGAATTTGCATCAAATGCCTTAAATCTTGATGTTCAGGAGAGTCAGGTGTTCCCGTCCTCTTACTATATATGTAACACTATCTGGAAGGTGTCTTCTGCCTGGATCATGAGACTGTCACGTCAGAAGAATTAGTTCGGGTACCAGAAAGAAATTTTATTCCACTCACACAAATGGCCCTTATAGGTCCTTGTATCTCCTCACTTTCTTTATTTCTCACCAACCTCAGAAATAAAGAAGAAACTAGACTGGGATGGGAAGGGCGTGGTTATGGCATGGAATCCTCTGAGTGATCACTTATTTGGGAAGGAAGCTTTAGTAACCAACACGGCAGCTCTCTGAGAAGAACTAATATGAGCTCAATTGGTGGGACCTAGGAAGACCAAGAAAAGAGCACTCCATCCTTTCCTACCAAAAGAATGTTGTGTTTTCGTTCACCCTTTAACTTGCGAGTACGAGAAGGTTCAAAGGTTGGCATTCAGGAGACTGTACTTTCGAATTGGTCTCTTCTTTCTTTCTGGGTCTGCCTCAAGCATCTCTTTGTGCTTCATAGCTGGAAACTCACCTGGAATTTGGGGTTTCCTCTTAGGACTGGATGTTGTGTTGGCCCCACCATTTTGACTCCTACTTGAATGTTCTAAGGAAAAAAACATCTCTTATCAAAAGTTTGGAATACATTGCCATAAGCTCCTTACAGAGCAGCACACAGGTCAACTTGCATATTCTACATCACTGCAAAGCAACTTAGAAATTCAAGCCACAGATGTTTGTAAAATGTTATCAAAACTAAAAACAGGCAAACTGGTTGCCATCAAGTCAATTCCAATTTATGGTGACCCCATGTGCTCCATGGGCTGTCTTTGGCTGTAATCTTGACTGAAGCCAATCGTCAGGACACTCTTCCATGGCACCAGTGGGTGAATTTGAACCAACAACCTTTCGGTTGGTAATTGAGTGCAAGTTGTGCCAGCTAAGGACCTATAAAATGCTACAAAGAAGATATTTCCCAAAAAAAACTGGTTTGATTAAGGCTGAGGTTTGGAAATGTTGTTTGTTGTTATGTGCCATCAAGTCAGACCCTACTCATAGCGACCCCTCCTTGGGTTTCTGAGGCAGGATAACTATGGAAGTAGATTACCCCATCTTCCTTCTGAGGAGTGGCAAATGTTAGTAGACTATTACTTTATCAAAGAACATGACAATTCTCAGTGGCAGTGTTATGCAGTGTTTAAGATCTTGGGCTCTAAGAATGGACAGACTGGAAATCGAGCTCTACCTCTGCCTCTTGCTAAGTGTGTGTGCTGGAATAAGTTACCCTCTCCAAAGAACACTTATATAATGCGGATAATAATGAAATCTGCTCCATGATTTTGCAGAGATTTACAGAAATATACAATATCTATAGTTATGTTTAGTTGTTATTTTATTTTTCTTGAAAGTCTTGCTACTCAAAGTGTAGTCCATAGACTACCAGCATAGATATCACTTGGGAGTTTGCTAGAGATACAGAATCTCAGACCTCACTTCAAACCCACTGCCACTGACTTGATTCCAACTCATAGTCACCCCCATTGGGCTGCGAAGGCTGTGAATCTTTATGGAAATAGATTGCCTCATCTTCCTACCATGGAGCAGCTGGTGGGTTTGTACTGCTGACCTTCTGGTTAGCAGCCAAATGCCTTACCTACTATGTCACCAGAGATTCTGAATCAGAATCTTCATTTTGACAAGATCCTTAGAGGATTCACATGCTTCAGAAAGACCAACACAAATCTGAACATCACGTCTGATGTTTTCATAGAAGTAAACATAAACATTTAAAAAATAGGCATTTGCAGGGAAGGAGTAGCCCCTTTTGACCTAAGAAAAATCACCCTATAATAATATATTAGTGAAACATATCTTGGTTTTAGAACAACTTATCCTGTTAAAAAACAAAATAAGGAAACAAACAAAAACCTCAAACTAGAAGGAAGCATCACAAGACAAAGAATCCACCAATAAGAACAGGAAACTCATCAAACTGTGGGCAGTGTCAGACTTAAAAAAGCTCAAGACAACCTGTGAAGCTTCCTTTTTTAATACCCCATCCCTCTAAAAACAAATTTTAAAAAAATTTTCTCATTCAAATCAACTGTTTTCTACTAAATAGGAACCCACTGCAGAATTCTAAAGGCCTAAAAGGGAAGGGAAAAAAAATCAGGAAAGCCTGTTTGCTAATAAATGGATGAAGATGGCCAGGCTTTAAATGAAAAGTTTTCCTCAAAGGGTCAAACTTTAGATTCCACACAGTAGACACTAAAGGCTTGATTACAGTGGTTATTTTGGGTTAGATGACTCCTATCCACACAATTTGATGTTTCTGTTAAACTCTGAACAGAGCAAAACAAATTCTGACCAGATGCCTGGCCATTTCAACACACCCCATCCCATTTTGGCAGTGGCCTTCTACTTCTCAAACATCAAAAGGAGTCCAAGGCACTTTACAGAGTCCTTGGTGGCTGGCAAGTTTTCACCTGCACAAGTCATGGGATATTAGCCATCTCAGCAGGAGATCTTTGGCCTTGAAAACCTCCTAAGAGGCACAGTCACTCTCACTGGTCTTTCTCTGACTCACATGAGCCTTTGATATTTAAAAAAAAGGCCATTAATGGATCATAATCTCTTTATTTATTTCCAAAAAAGTGCTGCCAGCAAGGAAAGAGCTGGGTGTGTGTACAACAAGATGAAACCTCCTGTTTCAACAATAGACACCTGCACCAGAGTCAAACAAAGGAGACCAGCTCCCGCCCACCTGATTCTCACTTTAAGCAAAAGCCAAAGTGAATGGACGAGATACAGCAGGCCTACCCTTGTGCCCTATAGGTCTCCAAATCCAGCCAGGGTAGGACGGCCAGGAAAGCAAGTTCTGCAAAGAGGGGCACTTAACTCTCCCACTGGGGAGATGAGATCCAATCTGAGACGTGCACAGAGATAATTCAACTGGCTTCGACTGTGAGAAAAATAGTCTATGACAGTGCTTCTCAAACTTTAATGAACACACAAACCCCCTGTGGGCAGAACAGGCTGTCTGGTTAAAGTGCAAATCATGATTCAGTGAGTCCTGGGCTGGTCACAGATTCTGCATTTCCAATAAACTCCTAAGTAATGTCTGTGCTACTGGACTAAGGAGTAACTCCAGTTACTTGAAGTAACTGGGGTCTCTTGATTTTAGTGAGCATGTCTTTTGATAACTCCTTTCCATTACTAAAGGAGTTCTAGGTTAGTGCAAAGCATTAAGTACCAGGCTACTAACTGAAAGACTGGTGGTTCTAATCCACCCAGAGGTGGACTGGAAGAAAGACCTGTTGATCTGCTTCTTCAGGTCACACACACACACACACACACACAAAACCAAACTCACTGCCATTGAGTCGATTCGACTCTTAGCAATCCCTCCTTGGATTTCCGAGGCAGTATCTCTACAGAAATAGATTGCCCAATCTTCCTTCTGAGGAGTGGCTGCTGGGTTTGAACTGTCAGCCTTCCAGTTAGTAGTCAAATGACTTAGGCACTACACCACCAGAGCTCCCAAAGTGTGGTTCTATTCTGACACACATGGGATTAACAGGAGTCAGAAGGTAACTGTTACTGGTCCACTTTCAAAATACGTCCACATTCCCTTATCTTTTGTTCCTCACAAGATCTCTAGGAGGTAACCTAGGCAGGCATTCAGATTTGCTTTTACTAATAAGGAAACTGTGGTTGAGAAAGTTTAAGTGTCCTGTCCAAGGTCCCCAACAAGTCTAAGACATCTGTCTGTTCCTTCAGAGCCATTTCTAATGAGCCCCTGCTTACCTGGGCTCTTACATAAAAGGTTATTACTAAAGCCATGTCGGGAGCTCTGGTAGCATAGTGGCTAAGACTCTTGCCTGCTAACCAGAGGGCTGGCGGTTCAAACCCACCAGCCACTCTTCGGAAGGCAATCCTACTTCCGTAGTGATACTGCCTCAGAAACCCAAGGAGGGGTCACTATGAGTCGGGTTTGACTCGACGGCACACAACAACAACAAAGCCATGTCATGTAAATGTCCATCTTAATAGTTCCTTTAAATTACTCATGATTTGTGTGATTATTTAAACCAGGAGTCAACACCAGTAGGCATGATGGGGGAGGGCAACAATGGTTTTGCCTGGATTTGTGGGTGACCCGGGAGACTATGGTAAGTCGTTATCATTGGTAGACCCCTTCACTAGCCCCAGCATTAGATGTCAGGAGTAAACTTTCATCATGTCAGACTTCTGCTGCCTTGGAGTAAGGTTTCCAGGCATGGGATCTGAGTCATGACAAACAGGAATACATTTAATAACACGTGCCTGGTAAGAATTATGATCATTACAGAGTACTTTCTGCAGACCATGCTTATGAGAGGCAATGTGAGATCCCTGTGCTTTAAACCTGGCTCCACCACTTACTAGTTGTGGCAACTTGGTCTTAGTTTTGTCATCTGAATATGGAGATGATAATAGTACTTGCATATGTCACATAGTTTGTAGGATGATTAAATGGGTTGATATTTGATGAACATATGGAATTGTTGATATTTGATTTTTCTTGAGCTTCAGAAATGACATTTTCTTATGGTCCAACCCAATACATGTAAAGTATTTAAAACAATGTGTGTCATGCAGTAAGTTCTCAAAGAATGCTACCTAGTATTACCATGTGCCAAGGATTATGCTAAATGCTTTACATGTGTTCCATCATGTAGTCTTTCAACAATGACCTGTTGTAATAATTATTCTATAAATTTTGTTGGTTAGGAAACTGAGTCTCAGACTCTGTAAGCATTTTTTCCAGTTAATATGTGGAGGAGTTAGGATTAAACCCAGGCCATTCTTACTCTAAAAATATATTTTCTTAATCTCTCTGCTGTATGTGATATTAAATTGAGACCCTGCTTGAGTTTTTCTTGATCCTTTCAGAGGAAAGATGTTCTCCAAAACAGTAGTTCACAGAGTGTAGTCCCTGTTTCAGTATCAGTATCAGCATTACCAGGGAACTTATTAGAAACACAAATGTTCAGGTATCCAGACCTACTGAATCAGAAACTCTAAGGGTGGGACTCCACAGTGTAATTTAATAAGCCTTCCTGGTGCTCTATGGGAGTTCCTGGGTGGTGCAAATGTTTAACATTCTTGGTTGATAACCTAAAGATTGGGGGTTGGAATCCACCCAGAGACACCTCAAAAGAAAGGTCTGGTGATCTACTCCCAAAAAATCAGCTATCAAAAACCCCATGGAGCACAGTTCTAATCTTATCCACATGGACTCACTAGGAATTGGGGTCAACTTGACGGCAATGGAAATGGGCCCTGATGATTCTGATGTCTTCTTAAAAAGTTTGAGGATCACTGTTTAGAGACATGCATACTTCATTAATAATCAGCAGGTTCAGTGATGATCATGACAATAAATGTATAAAGTGGCTCAAACTTACCATTTGATTCAGAGCCATGAGTGGTATGGGATCTCCCACCAGTCTCGTCGTCATCTTGGTGTCCTGTAACAAGCAATCAGGGAAGGTTCAGGACCACGTGTTCCTACTTATACTAGCATCTGCATTGCCTCCTGTTTGAATTTTCATACAGCCCATCACAAAGATCAGTCTTTAAAAGGTAACCAAAAAATGATGGTACATGAGTCTTCAATGGTTCCAGCATATTAATGACTGTTCACTGCTAATCCACTGAAAGTGGGCTAATTCTTTAATCAAAATTAAGGAATCTGGTGCAGCCCAGACCATCAAAGGTGACCATAGAGGAAGTGTGGTTTTGGTAGACATCCAAGAACTGTGGCAATGAACTCCCTAATCAAAAAAAAAAAAAAAAAGTCTTTGCAGGTCCCTGTGTACTTGCAATGGACACAGGGACCTGTGGCATTTGACTGCTAACCAGAAGGCTGGCAGTTCAAACCCATGGGCAATTCAAATTGCCACTCCTTGGAAGGAAGATTGGGCAATCTACTTCTGTAGTGATATTGCCTCAGAAACCCAAGGAGGGGTTGCTATGATTCAACGGCAGTGAGTTGAGTGTCCTTGCAATAAGGACAATATGCTTTTGTTATGAGAAGTGTGATCACTGGGAATGTGGCTTAAGATATGAGACATTTTAAAAGATTTCACCAAGGTGGGAAATAGAAAAAGGTTTGGGTCTGCAACAAGGGATCATGGGATTGAACTATGTAAAGACTCCAAGATAAAAGTCAACTACTTAGAGAAAAATTATGAAAATAGGAATGGGAGATGATAGCTAGCATGTGAACAATATATACATAGGTATCAGAATAAGTTTTAAATAGCAATATTTTTTAAAATTTAAATATGTGTCTTCCACACTAATAGTTAATGTAACCTCATCCTCTCAGACCTCTGTTACCTAAGGGTTTTAGATTGAGATAAGCACATGAATTGCTGAAATATGAATCCATAGGTCAACCCTTGGATTCAGCATATGGAAATTCCCTCTCCTCTCTCTCAAACTACTCTCCCACTCTAAACATTTTCCAAAACCATATTAGACTCTTCAAATAAGATCACAGAACAATGGCTTCATAAAATGGCTATCATCATCCATTAGAATTTACCTATATGGAATGTAAGGAGGTATGTTGGTGCAGTGCCAAAGCATTTGACTGCTAATCAGAAGGCTGGTGGTTCAAACCCAGCAGCCACTCCATGGAAGGAAGATGGGGCAATCTACTTCTGGAAAGATTTACCACCTTGGAAACCCAATGGAGGTCACTCTGAGTTGAAATTGACTTGATGGCATTGAGGTTTTTTTTTTTTTTTTTTTTTTAAATAAGGAATGTACAGTAATCTGATCATCATTATTTCCTTGATTAGAGAAGACAGAGGGGAGTGACCTGTAATCGCTCATGTGATTGCATTGAGAAGACAGATTCATTTGTTCCATGGCTAATGGTTAGAATAACTGAAAACACCATTTGCTGAAATGCCAACACCAATACCCCTATTCCCAGCATCACCATCAGTATCACCAACACCAATTCCATCACCATTATTTATCACCACCACCATCATTCCAAATATTTTAGTTCTTAACATTGAACATAAAGTTTGAGAAAAATATATGGACAGAAATAAGCCTATATTGTTTAATAACAATTAGGCTATGTCCACCTTCTAGGATACTGTAACTATTAAAATTGTCAATTAAAATTTAACTTCACCAGGTTGCACAATAGGCCTTATTTTGCCAAAAGATGCTAAGAATGCTATGATTAATTCCTCTAGAATAACACTGGTGATTAGAATATTTAATAAGTGAAAGAATGATGCTGAATAAAAAACTAATAAGTGTAAGAGGCTTTGTCTTGCCAACACTGCTGGACTCAGTATTTTTAAAAATTGTTTTCCTTGAGACCCTTGAGTGGGCAGCCAAGAAGAAGGAGGCCAAGCATGTGGCATTCTGGGGTTTCTGTGCCCATATCAGTCAGAACATCATGACAGTTATCGGTTTTATACATTGGTTCTTGTTAGATTTATTTCTCTCCTTTTTTATTCAGGAAAAAGGGGATTTGTGCTACAGAAAATAGATGTTTAAGGTCACTAATCTTTAATATGTATTAGTGGTTGCATGCTAAGAAGCACTTGAAGAACTAGCACTAGAAGGAAAGAATCAGTTTTCCGTTCCCCAGCCAAAGTGAGTATTTTCCAGTTCCCTTTTCTTCAGTTTCAGTTTCTTAATGCAAATATAGGAGCTCTGGTAGTGTAGTGCCTAAGGCACTTGACTGCTAACCAGAAGGCTGGCGCTTCAAACCCACCAGCCACTCCTCGGAAGGAAGGTTGGACAATCTACTTCCGTAGTGATACTGCCTCAGAAACCCAAGGAGAGGTCACTATGAGTCAGGTTTGACTTGACAGCACAGGCACAGAACAACAACAACGCAAATGGAGAAACAAAGAAAAGCAGAGAGGACTTATTGCTTGAGGGAAAAAGGTCCCATCTCGAATCTACATGTCAAACTCTTTAGTCATCCCCTTGCCATTGCAGGAAAAAATGATGTCTATTGATTAATAGCAGATTACATAAAAATTTTTAAACATGCATCATAACTAGAGTAGGTTTATCCACCAGCCAGCCCTTCATCAAAAGTAAAATTCACCAACTAATCACCAAAAAAAGATGATAATTTCAGCAAATGTTGTGTTATCTATATTTTCACCACAATAAAAAAAGATAATAATTTCAGAGGAAGGATATTAGAATATGGAAATTATTCACATATGTTGGTAAAATCTTACTAAATAGGCAACATATATTAGTTGAATCAAATGATTCTAATATTCAACTATTTTGACCTATGAAAATATCTGTTTCATATTGTTCAACTTAATGTATCACAAGATCAAGAACAATACAAAGAAATCTCATCATAACAATGAAGTAACAAAAAGAAATGGAAATTACGTTAGCAAATGACAGCATTATTTTATCTAAAATATGTCAATCCAAGGTTACTTTACTAGTGTTGATGAAAGTCATTCTCATATCAGAAATTAGTGTAATCACATTCTAGACAGAAAATGTTCCCTGTAATATGAAAGTAGGTGTTGTTTCTCCATATAGAGAAAGCACACCAGGTAACAGATGTTCAAATTACCTGGATGTGAATGTGCTATGTCGGAGCTGGAATCTCCAACAGTAACTTCAGTAACTCCAGGGGACTCAGTCATAGCAGGGGTTACGGGGGTGAGGGTCCTGTTTTCCTTTGTGTCTGGGAAATGAGGGGTATAACCTTCCACTGATGTAGTTGAGTCTTCAGGAAGATGTTCTCCTCTTCTTCCACCTCTGCCTTCATTCCTATCTGTGTGGAGGTGGAATCAATGGTAAACCCACACTTGTAAAGCCACTGCCCACTGTGTGATTGTCTCCAGTCATGCAGTTGCTGCAAAAGCCTTCCTTTTCACTTATTATCCAAGAACGAGAAGCAAAAGACACTGAAGTTCATTCACTGCTGAACAGAATCAGCACTCAGTAACCAACACCACCAAGATAGCACCACCAAGATAGAAGAGATTTTAGTGATGTTAATACCCAGAAAAAGCATTGTTCCAACTCCTGCCTGGGTTGTTAAAGTAAGGTTTGTGTCATTTCAATGGTGACTGTGAAGCCCAACCAGGTACTAGATAATCATGGGCTTTTTCTTAATTGAATCCATCTTTGATGAAATTGAAGAAACACACCTTTGGATTTGAAGTTAAAATTGTATTGCCTGTAATTGGAATGGAAAATGCAAATGGAAAGACCTTAGGCTACCAATTTAGCTTTTTTTTTTTTTTTTCCTTTGTCAGAAGGGCACATTTCTTTGTCACCAGCACCATAGATTTATGGTCCTGAGGACAAAAGACAAAATTATATTCCTAATGCAAGAACCACTCATCTGTCAGTTTGTCATACTGTGGTACTGTGGATATCATGCTTGGTAAAGTGAAGGGTCAACAAAAAAGGGAAGACCCTCAACGAGATGGATTGACACAGTGGCTACAGCGATGGGCTCAGATATAGCAAGGACTGTGAGGCCGGCACAGGACTGGGTCGCTATGAGTTGGAGCCAACTCAACAGCACCTAATAACAACAACAACAACAATGCAAGAAATATAGAGAGTGATATAATTTAGACTTTCAAGCTAATTATAAATCATATAGAGGTGATTCATCATTTTTAAACTAAGATATTATTTGTAAAGTTTAAGAAACCTGACATTTAAGATGAAGATACACAGTTTACACTTAATGTACAATGACTACCAAGAGGTCTACAAAGGAGAATAATCAGAGAACCATCACCAGATGCACCTTCTAATCAAAAGTAACAGAAGAACAGCAGATGACTGATACACCTCCACCAAAGACATTGCAAAAGCACCCAAAATTCATTGATTTTTTTCAAATCAAGAGTTGAAACCAACTGGGCTTTATAATTCTTACTGCTAGATGTTGGAGCAGGAGTTGTTGGTTGGTCTTTATCTTCCTCCAGGCCTCCATGTTCTGTAGAGAAGCTCTGAGAATGACTCTGCTCTGTTTCAATGAGGGATGAATCCAGTGTTAATTTGGAACCATTATACAATTTCTCTGTTATCTGTTAACAGGGAAGATCTAGCTATAGACGAGTCTAAGATAGGTAGGTGCAAAGGAAAAACAAGTTTTGTGCACGTCATTCTCCTCCGATTGATAAAAATGTACAAGAGAATTCTGTTTTGCCCCTAGTTGGTCCCAAAGACCCTTTGTTCATCAGAATAATCAGCGAACGTTAAAATGCTAAGGTGAAACCTGACTCAAAAACTTTTGTCCACTCTGGATCATTCTGATCCAATTATATTGCTCTCAGTCATTCAGGAAAACCAGAGAGCACAGACACATGAGAAAAGAAGGTCAATGTTTCTATCAACAATCAAGAGCATTTGATTGTAGGTCAAGCAGTAAGATTGTACTGAACTGAATTCCATGACAGCAGGTTATACGCCTGTAACCATGAGAGGAAGAAGCTCATCTAGAATTGCCCATTCAAGTAACTCAGATCCGATTTAAACATGGAAACTCCTAACTTCCCTCTAATGACCATTAAATTGAAGCTATCATTTTACTTTATTATTAGGTTTTTGATCTCATCTGTGGATGAGATTCTCACCACTGCACCGAGGAAATGCTTGCCTGGGCAAACACAGGGCCCTCAGTGACGTACATGTATCAATTTGAAGTTGAACCATTGCCATAGCTGAAGTCACTTTGTTTTCTTTTGTGTTCTTTCAAGAAAGGTACTGACCTTTGAGTAACAGGTGCACTCCATAAAGTGCACCCACGAGCCATGTCCACCAGCAAAAAATATCACAACAAGGACAGAGACATTCGCCAAAGCCCAAAATTCAACACCAGAACAAAGTCAACAGTGATATTAAATGGAATAGCCCTCCAATGACAGAGGCCATCCTTAGACTTATTTGCATCTTTTCTTGATGCTTAACATTGTGCTTTTTACATTGTTGACAATCAACATATGCTTGCTGATTTTTTTCATTTTGCCTGAAAGGGCTTACATGAAGGGCTTTGCCCTCTGTGTGAGCAAGTGGTGAAATGAGACGGCCCTCTGAATTCTGGATTCCTTTCATGCTCTGCCAAGAAATGATGAATGGCTTTAGACTAATTGCTAGGATATCCCTGCACATAGAGTGGAAATTAAGGCTACTAGAAATTTAGCATGGATTCCTACCAGATATTTAGTGATAGAAAGAGATATTATTAACAATAGTTCCTTTTTTGTTCAGGAGCCCTCTTGCCTTTGTCAATTGTCAACAACATGCCTTCCCCTTCCCCTGCTGTGTGATCTGATTTCCCTACTCTTAATGAATAAAGCCCTTAAAATGTCTCTTCACAACAATTAAATAATCCTGCCTTTCTTCTGGCTTGATCAAGGGAGACAGAAATCATAAGGAGATAGTCAATTATAACAGTGGCCTTGGATTTCACTGACATGACTACTTAGAGAAGAAATATTAAGTTAGAGTCCCACAATCTTTTTTTTTTTTCTTCTTCTTCTTCTTTCCTTTTTTAAACATGAAGTCAGTGAAACTGGAAGGCACCAAGAATGAAGGTAAAATCAGGTTTAAAGAACTACCACCAAGGAAATATAGACAATGGAGGCAGCTCTGGGCTGAGCTGATCTACATAACACCAAGTGCACCATTCCACCACCAAGCTCTTGGCCAATCTAAGAGCAGAAGCCAGAATACAGATCAATAAAGTGACTGTTATTATCCTTACGAGTTGTCATTGGAAGAGGTTCTATCCTGTCCAAGACTTCCACCAAATCTCTGTTTGGAACTGCAGTGGGCTGAGGTGTTGTACTATGGCTGGAGTTCACATCTGGAGGAATTAAGTAAGTGTTATTGCTTGATTTCCTAAACTACTATCTGAGGGTGATTTATTTAATATATTGCTAAGTTATTTTCATATTCAAGTGTGGATAAAAGGAAAGACAACATCTATCGTTTCATGTTTCCAGAATTAGGATAGATTATTGTTTCTTTGGAAGAGCATCACAAAAAGTAATCACTTTTCATTAAAGGGGTGACTTGTATAAAATCTAAGATTTTTATTTGTTTTTACTCAGTCTAGAAGGATGCCTTCATGGCACTAATATGAGTGCATGAGGGGACTCCCCAGACTTACACAGAGAGAGAAGTATGACTTATGTATGACTTGTCCAATTCCATACACATTGTCTTTCTTATAAGCACATAATCTGACAAATGTAGAAAATACAAAGTGCACTGGCTGAGACACCATTTTCTCACATCTCCTTTACCTGCCAAAGGAACTTTATTGACAGCTGTCTTCCCTCATTTAGTTTTTTTTCTCTGCACAAAGTGCACATGCAGATAAAAGCATAGCCTTGTCATCTAACACTACCTAGATGGAGGCCACACGAAGTGCACATGGGCAAGAAATAAGAAGCAGTGAATGTCACTCAACTGCTCAGATACCTAAACGCAACTATGAGGTGTCTTTGGAATTTAACATGTACAATATTGGATAGTATAGAAATTTCACTGAAATATTTATAAACATTGTTTTTAGTAGTTATCAAAGGTCTATTCTGCTGAAATAACCAGTCCTAAGTGAAGGAGAAGACAAAATAACCCATAAAGACCATAAATATAGCTGACTCTCCAATTCAGTGAAAGCTATCCACACTTCTGCCTCTGGGGGAATTTAATCAGTCAAATGACTCCAAAGAGAAGCACTGAATATTAGGTACTCACATCCCCACATCTGCAATGCAGCTTTACATGCAAAAAGAAAAGTGAATCAAAACATGGTTGACTCTACTCCAGAATTCAAAAGAGGAAGGGCTAGTGAACCCAAATAAAAATCTCAACTGGATTTTCCTCCAGAAAAATTCCTGACTGTTCAAGGTATTTTTGTACATCTTCACTTTTATAAGTAGCATCCTTTAAGAGGTGTCAAACACATTTCATGGTTGAAGCCAATAATACTGTTCTTGACATGCTCATCAATTTAATGGAATCTCTCTCTCTCTTCATTGATATGAAGACATAATGTTGATCCTGAACTTCTTTGACTGGCTTGGTTTCTCACTCTGGATATCATCCAAACCTCTAGCAGCTTTATTCATAACATATGTGCTGGGTCTGTATGTGGCACTTCAGTCACTGAGCAAAATGACCCCAGCTTGTCCACTCATTTCCAAAAAAGTCATTCCTTGGCTTTCCTTCCTTTATGAGTCTCTTCACATGACTCTCCTTCCTAGAAAGACTTCCTTCACTTCTTCTCTGTCTACGCAGATTTTTTTGTTTTTGAAAAACCCTATCAATTCACCGTTTCCTGACATTCTCTGGGGGCTATCCCTGAATTCCTTTTGTGCTTATTGTTGGCAACATTCATTTGACATCTATTATTTATTGTCTCCTGCAGGTATTATCATGCCGAATGTCTTTTCCCTAGCAAATGTTAAGTTTCTTAGAAGCATACCATAAATTGTACTTTGTCTCTCCAAAATGCTTTGTGTGTTAGTAGGTCTTTAACACACACTGTAGTTGAAGGCATATCTGAACACTAGTATTTGGGCAATGCACAGTTAGGTATTCTAAAGAAATGTAACTATAGAAACACTTGGATTCATTTTTTGAGATAATTTTACATACACTCAATGCAAAGAGACATAGTAACTGTGCTCTTAGACACATTTCAGTAAGTTTTTGTGTCATGATACTTTTGGTGACTTGGATACAGATAATAATATACTCAATGCTATGACCAAACATTCACATCCGTATGTCCGTTTTTTTGGTTTATCTTCCTCTTTGGAATGCTATTTTTATGTAGTGAGAACATCTTGTTACATTGTTAAAAAATTGAGTAACTCTATTCATGTGCATAGGGAGCTCTGGTGGCACAGTGCTTAAGGCATTTGGCTGCTAACCAGAAGGCTGGCAGTTCAAACCCACCAGCCACTCCTCGGAGGACGATTGGGCAATACACTTCTGTAGAGATACCACCTTGGAAACTCAAGGAGGGGTCACTATGAGTAGGAAACAACTGCACAGAAAAGAGAGAGAGAGAGAGAGAGAGAGAGAGATTCATGTGTAGAGTAAGAAGCATGGATTCTTCAATTTATTAAAAACAGAAAAGAGGAGCTACCAACTCTTAGACTCTCTCACAAAGATGTTATCTGTAAGGAAAAGGCAATATAATTTTTAAATTTAAAAATTGGTCATATCACAGTCTTCCATTTTTGCAGTGCAACTAATAGTATTTCTCTCCTTTAATTTTATTTTTGAATTGTTCATAAATATGTAAGAATGGTACTTAAGAAAACAGAGATTCCATCCTCTGTAAAAGTTGCCCACCCATTAAATTCACAAACATTTTTGAAGGCCAAGTTTGTTCTAAATCCTAAATACTTCCTTATTATTGAACTATCTCTAAATGTGACAAGAGTAAATAAAAATATGTTTCTTGAAATTTGTAGTTATCTATTTGGAATAACTAGTCACTAATTTTTGATCTCCCAGATTTCTCTGCCAACAACAAGTTATACATTTGGTTCTACAATGGAAATATTCACTGAATCCATCACTTAGCTCTAGTTAAAATCCTGTACTTAGAAGTAAATAAAAATAACCTCCTGGGAATGCCCTTCTTACAGGAAATGACTTCTGCTTCCACCACCCCACAACTAATTCTGCTTTAAGCCTTTTGCCAAATTCTTCACTCCCAATCCAGAAAAATTTGGTGAATGTGTATATCACTCACACCAAGAAAACTAATTTTTGAAGAAACTTCCAGTTCCTTCCTAGGAAAGTAGACTACTCTAAAACCAAGGGTATATCTCTAAGGAAAACAACCATTTGTTGTACATATGTACAACATGTAGAAAACAGCTCAGAGGTTATTACCCATCCTTCTTCCTGCTTGATGACCTCGTCCCATTGGATGTGAGATTGAGTCGAAGAAATCCATCCAGGAACTACTCTTCTCTTGACTCTGCGTTGTCATTCTTTGATAAGTATGGCTGTCATGGGCTGAAGCTGTTGTAATCATGCAGTTCAAGCAATTGTCAAAGTGTTAATTGACATTCGACTTGGGATACACTGATTTCCACACCGCCCCCCCCCAAGGCTTTACTCTCTAGACAAGACAATGAAGCCATTTTCTCTGTACAGTGGGCAATGAGGTCACATAAACACAGAATGTTTTAGCATGTTTGGGTTCATTCCTGCTCATTTTCTTACCAATCAGCATGTGAATTGAGGAACATAAAAACATTAACCACTTCAGCAATGGATAGAGGAAGAATTATCAACATCAAAGCAAGATGAATGAGAAGTACTTATTCATCTATGCCATGTTGCCATAGTCCCATAAAAGAGGAAGTAGAAGAGCCAAGGATGTATTCCAGAAACAACCCAGACAACCACATCCCAGGAAAATACATAGGAGGTTGGAAGTGATACAGAGAAGCAATCAGGTAACAGCTTCCCATCTGATAAACATGAAAGTGAAAACCATTCCTCTCAAAAGCATGAATGGAATTCATTAGAACATTATCTTCTAACAGTAAGATTTTTGGCATAAGTGACATATAAGTATACAGTACATGCCTTTACTTAATGTGGAGCCATGCAGAAATATAGGGAGAAAAGATTATAATAGCAGTTTCTTAGCAATAAACACTCTGCATTGTTCAGTGATTCAGCCAATCACTGAATCCATTGCTCAGCTGAAATGCATTCAGAAGTTGCCACACACAGGAAGGACATTACATCTTATATTCTTTGTTGCAAATGGAAACACAGCAATACTTTTCACTGATACCAAGTGAGAACAAAGAACTCACATTCTTTGATAAGACAGGATGCATTTCAATATGTATGTCACACACACAAAAGAATCATGCACAAGAGCTTGCAGAACCAAGGTATCTGTTAGCTAGCATCACTTAGAATGATGAAAAGACTTGAATCCTATTTCCAAAATCCCACAATTCAGGAATAGAGAATATGTCATTTTTGTAAATCCAAGAAAAAAAAAAAAAAAAACACATTCAAGGAAAATCACCAAACTGAGACATAAAAAAAGTGGAGGACAGAGACAGACAGGTGCCATTTTTCTCAAAATGTCTGGCTCCATTTCTTCAAATACTGGGGTCTTAACTAAATGCTTTCTCACCAATCCAGTGCTTCACAGAACCAAGTGGTCAATCCTAGACCCATATCATAGAGTAGATTCCTTTACAAAATAAAAGGGAATATTTCACAAGATCAGGGTTTCTCCTACAATCTCACTAGGGGATTGCCCAAACTACATCTGAAAGTGACATGCTCAAGGGTATATTCCCAGCATCTCCTTTACATGCTTATAGCTATTTCTGCTCAGGTGATTTGTTACAAGCAGTTAGGATTAGGTTGGGGTTGACTGCATCATAATTGCTTAAGGAACCTTAATGTCTGTGACAATTCCTTAAAGGTTGGCTTTTTGGTCAGTGTCATCAATGTCCAACATTTAAGTCAAAACTTTCCACCCAAGTCTGCTTGATAAATCATCTATTACCAGCCGTTCCTGTTGTTGAATGAGAATCTTCTTTAAGCGTCTGAGAATGCTCCCCAGGCCATCCATTCCAAAACGACTGCTCTTTCTTGGTAGCTGTTTCTTCAATTGTACTACTAGGGGTTGCCTGGGCTGTGAGAAGAGTGTCAGCTGTGAGCCATCATTGTCCAAGATTCTCACCAACACCTGTTACATCTTTTTACTTTAAGGGCATATGCACTAGGAAGAGAAGTTAAAAAGGGAATATAGCAAAGAGAGAGGCCACTGATATTCTGAAATGGACATTACAAATTAAATGGCTCAATCTTTTAATTTTTCAGATAGAAAATCTGGGGCCCAGAGAAGTTTTGATTTTCTTAGAATAATATAGCCAGATTGGGGAAAATTGAGGACTAGACCACAGCCTACGCATTCTCAGTCTTATTCTTATTTTATTATATAGTTTATGTCTCACATGGTATTCTCAATTGCTTCATATGCATGGAAAAACTGGACAAGAAATAAGGAAAAAGAGTTGTTGTTGTTGTTAGGTGCCATTGAGTCGTGTCCAACTCATACCGACAGGACGCACAGCAGAATGAAACACCGCCTGGTTTTGCTCCAGCTCCGCAATCCCATAGCTATACTTGACCCCATAGCCACAGCCACTGTGTCAATCCATCTTGTTGAGGGCCTTCCCCTCCTTCGTTGACCCTCCACCTTACCAAACATGACATCCTTCTCCAAGGAACGGTCCCTTCCAACAACATGACCAAAGTAGGTGAGATGAAGTCTGGCCATTTTCACTTCCAAGGAGCATTCTGACTGCGCTTCCTCCAGGACAGATTTGTTAGTTATTTTAGTTCATGGTGCTTTCAGCATTCTTCACCAGCACCACATCTCAAAAGCATTAATTCTTCAGTCTTCTTCATTCACTGTCCAGGTCTCACATGCCTATGAGGCAATATTGATTGCTTCTCCATATCACTTCCAACCTCCCATATATTTTTCTGGGATGCGGTTGTCTGGGTTGTTTCTGGGATGCATCTTTGGCTCTTCTGCTTCCTCTTTTATGGGACTGTGGCAACATGGCATAGATGAATAACTACTTCTCATTCATCTTGCCTTTGAATTATGGTGTTGGCAAAGAATATTGAATACATCATGGACTGACAGAAGAACAAATCTGTCTTGGACTAAATATATACAGAAAGCTCTTTAGAAGCAAGGATGGCAAAACTTCATCTCATCTACTTTGGGCATGCTATCAGAAGGGACCAGTCCCTGGAGAAGGGCATCATGCTCGGTAAAACAGAACAAATGAACGCATCATTGTCGAGTTGGATCCGACTCATAGCAACCCCTCCTTGGGTCTCTGAAGCAGTATCACTATGGAAGTAAAACAGAGGTCAGTAGAAAAAATGAAGATCCTCAATGAGATGGATTGACACAGTGGCTACAACAATGGCCTCAAAAATAGCAACAGTTGTGAGGATGGTGCAGGACCAGGCAATTTTTTCTTGTATGTAATGTCACTATGAATTAAAAGTGATTCAATGGCACCTAACAACAATATGGTCTCACATAACCTGTCTGAGAGAAACTTTTGTTCAGAGTTAACTTTTTCACTCCAGTGATTTGGGGCAAAGAATTATATTGTATAATAATTTATGACAAGATCAGCATAGTAGGAGGCCTTCCCATATGGCAGCCATATAACCTATAATCACACATACTGGAAATACATCAGCAGTGGATTTGCCCAGCATATAGGATGTTGAGATAACTGGGATATTACTCTACTGATGCATTACATGTTTATATCTATGTGGCATCTAAAATTACTAAAAGTACTTTTAAAAATTATTTCAGTGGAACAAAAATGATTCCAGTATTTGGCATTATATAAACATTAGCAGTGAGGCTTAAAATTTCAACCACTCAGTGGTGTGATCGTCAACATCTCCACTTTTTAAAAGGACAAAATTAATGAAATAAAATTTCATCAGGGTGCCTTCAGGACAAGCGACAAGGCCACTGAGATGTTCATTTGTAGCAGCTAAGAGCAAATTTCCACTTCATCAGGAAAATGAGAACTTACGAGCTTGCAAAGCCGAAGTCTGCTTTGACACTTGTAAAGTTATTTTTACTTCATTACCTTAAAAAAATGATGCAAGTGATTTGATAATAGCAAGGATATTTAAAAAACAAATTTTATTGTCTTCATTTTACTCTTGCATTGACCAAAACATTCCTGGGATTAACTGGTTATTCAGAAGAAGAAGAAAATACAGTCAGATCTTAAGTTTTACCTCCTACTGAATAAAGCACTACCTCTTGACAAATAATGAAGCCAGAAAAACCACTGAGTATAATTACAAAGAGAAAAATTGGCCCAAATGTGGACTGCCACATTACTCAAATTACCAAAAAAAAAAAAAAAAACAAACACACACACACACAACTCTACCTATCCACCTTCTGTCACTGTCTTTATAGGGATAATGGTCTTTAAACACTCAATAACATCATGGTATTTTCCAGTATAAATTATCAGAGTGTGTTGGAAGAGGATAGGATTTCCACTATAAAATATGGAGGTTAACTTTCTTCTAGAACTTGTAATGCTCATTTGATAAAGCTTCCAAGTCACCTCTTTGAAGCACATTGTATTTTGCAAGTATTGATAACAGAATTGCTACAATTGTTGCTGCTTGCTTTTGTCAGTTTCTGTATGTCTGGTTCTTCAACTAACCTCTGATGTAATGATGCTCCCCATTGACAATAAACCAAAAAAATCAAACTCACTGCCATTGTGTCAGATCTGACTCAGAGTGACCCCTCCTTGGGTTTCCGAGGCCGTATCACTACAGAAGTAGATTGCCCAATCCTCCTTCTGAGGAGTGGCTGGTGGGTTTAAACCACCAGCCTTCTGATTACCAGTCAAATGCCTTAAGCACTGTGCCACCAGAGCTTATTAATTCTAAGTCTCTTAAGTATCTTTTTAAGTACACACTGTCTAAAATAGTTTCTTAGATATACTGTTAGAACCCAAAGAGGACTGGTACTGAATCATGTTCTGAAGAGACTTCTGCTTCCTCTCTATTTCTTTCTTCTATCAGAAAACTCTTTTGTTAACTCAGTCCATAATCTTCATGTATATATTAAATCTCTTGGGGAAAGTAATGAGATGTAGACATACTGAGTGTGTTCAGTACAATGCCTTGAACTAACTTATTAACCATGTTGTAGCTGATATCTAAAGTTTTATTCATTGTCTGAAGACACCCATCAAACCGTAAATTCCCAAACTCCTTTAGCTTCTCTCTTTGACTTTTAAATAGCTATTTTTCTCATTTTTCCTTTAGGGGTCCAAGGCTCTGAAAATGATGATTGAACCATAGTTGTAAAAATGATACAGGCAGTAGTCACCCTAAACAAAAACTTCTTTTATTCCAAATAAGACAGGTATCTATCAGAGAACTAGATGAAAGAGTACATAATTCTTACTTTTTTATCCTATCTTTATAGTCTAAGGAGCCCCAGTGGCACAGTGGTTAAGAAGTTGCCTGCTAACCTAAAGGTCAACAGTTCAAACCTGCCAGTTGCTCCCTAGGAGAAAGATGTGGCAGTCCACTTCTGTACAATTTACAGCCTTAGAAAACCTATCAGGTAATAGGGTCACTATAGGGTCTATCCTATAGGGTTACTATGAGTCAGAATTGTCTTGACAGACTTTTTTTTTTTTTTTTTTTTAGTCTTCACAGTCTAGTGGTGAAACTTGAGATTGTTTTTAGAAAACCCAAGAAGTTTGCATGTACGTATAAATAACAATAAGAACACAAAGACTTTCACAAGTTAGCCAACGTTCAAAGACAGAAAAGAGAGGTTGTAGATTAAAATATAGACCATTGGAGCCACCCATTTTTCTCCGAAAAGTATATGGAATCCCTTCATACAATGCAGAGAGCACCACAATGTGAAAAGGAAACTGGATTCTCAAAGATCTTTATGGAAAATGAAGATTCCAAGAACTTTTCACTTGACAGATCCCACACTATCCTGATCCCACACTAAAACCTCTCTTTCCAAATCCCACAGTGAACACCAAAAAACCACATTCTTCACCATACACTTCCATATACACACACAAACCACCAAAATGGAACCTCAAGAAATCGTTCACAGAAAACTCATATCCCAGATACACTTTTTAAACATTTTAGCTTTTTGGACAACCTGACAAATTAGCATTTTCTTTTCAGTTTCAGAAAATTGTGTGCAGAAGCTTTTCGGACTCTAGGAATAAAAGAAACCATTACTGAGTACATGTAGTCAGTGTCTACACAGAATCTCCTCTACTCTTTGGAATGACTTTACTAGCTTGTCTGAACCAACACTATTGACTGCCATCCTTCTTACTTGTGCTGGTAGAATGCTGGGTCTCTTCGTCATCATAATGCTCATGGTGAACGAGAGGAGGCTGTGGTTCCTGGGTCCAATTTTCTCCATGAGCACTGGTGCCACTTCTGTCCACATCTGTCGCAATGATGGTTACATACACTGTGACTTTTTATCAACCAACCTTTAACGTTTCTGTTCTTCCATTAAAGCACATGCTATTTAACAGTTCTACACCTAAATAGTACTTCTACTATTCTCAATAATTTTGAGTGACATCAGTAATGTGTTCCAAGAGAAAACCAATGATTGTTACTACACTATAATTATACATTTTTTTCAAGAGCAGCATCTTAAATCATTGTATCCATTTTTATAACAAAACAACATAAAACACTTTGTCATATGATTGATAAATGGCCCCTGAGTGTCTAATGAAAGCTCACTAAGAATCTGTGATGAGACATTAACTGAATTTCCCATTATGTTCTGATGACTGACCTTTGCGGCATCACATGCTCTGAGGAAAAATACCTTTAATGAAGTATGAATAACCCATTACCAGTCATTGCTGTAGTTGTCTGAAGCTGTGTTTCTGGATGTGAAAGGCCTGGACTCCATTGGTTCCAATCCTCATTCTGTCTTGTGTAATGAAAGATCCGTGATGTGGTTGAAACTGTGGTGATGATTGAAGCAATTAGAACAATGTTATTTCTTCATCCTTCACCGCTTGATTTGCACATTTTCCCTTCTTTAGTTTATAGAATGAATCATCTATATCAGGTTGTATAGATGGTTGAGTGGAAATGGAGGGAAAGAAGAGAGTGTCTTCAGCTTGATTCAGCCACACTGTTAAGCATCTCAATGTCCTTTGCATTCTGTCACAGAATACCTCCGTTTTCAGAACATGAGATCTTCCACAGAAATCAGCCAAAGAAGCTGCAGCATGAGGAAGAACACTTTGCAAACACCAGCCCTCCACCAAGGATAATGAAAGATATCAGCATTTTGCCCATCCAAGCAGTCGGCAGTGGCCCTCCATCCTTGAAAGCTCAAGTAATTTGCATCACTGGCAAGCGTGCTACACGTAGATCCTCATATATCATACTGAAGAGGTAGACACCTGAAAGTTACACCATGATGGTCACTTTATTTGGTTAGTAACTGTGTTGTGGGAAAAACATCCAGAGCAACCGGAGTTTTCCTATAGATGATTCTGAGAAAGAACATCTACTTAGAACATGAAGGCATACATTTATGAATATTTCTCAAACACCCATGGTATTGTCATCAAATAAAAAACATATCATGAGTAAGTCATCTGTAGTCAATAAAAGAAAACAAGATACATACATTGTTGAAAAAGAGCACAACCACCACCATAGCAGCACACCACAAGAAAACAAAAAAAGAGGCATACATCCACCAGTGCCTGGTACTGTCACCTGAAACACTAGAGCTGGAGTAGGAGAGGCACCAGAGAGAAGGGTCATGGCCAAATCAGAATCAATGTCTTTTGTTAAAAGATTATTGACAAATCCACCCTGATTCTTTTCAACTTTATTTTGGTACCAAAATAATACTTTTTTTTTTTTTTTTTGAAACAGTAACACTATCAATTCTATTTCGCAAGTTAAGAAAATCTTGCTTAGCATCTTTAACCATATTTTCAATACCCATGAAAAAGTAGCAGTTATCATACCCCTCCATAAAAAAGAAGGCAGCCTGCTGAATTAATGTGCATAGGTGCCAAATTAGAAAATATGCCACAGAGGAAAACAACAACGGTTTTCCCCAGAGCTGGACCATCCAACTTATTTTCAAGTTGATCTATTTGGGTTGCCACCAATGAGAGTTTAGTATCTTAACTATCAAGTCAAGACTACACCTTTACTGATGGCCCCATCTGGAAGGAGGGGACACTTCTGAACCCAGGAGACAGCATAACAGTAAGGATAAAATGTGTTTGGTCATTTGCTTTTCTTTCTGAAGTTACTGAAAAGAGCTTCCTTTTCCCATAGATTATTCTCTATGGAGGGTCACTTCTAAGGAATAGACCACTTGAACGTTTTGATATAAAATAGCTAGTTTTTGCTGGTTCAGTGCCATTATGTTCAAATTACTTCAAGAGCTAAACTGTGTTTCTGGAATCTCTCCTGACCTCAGAAGGTGTTTATGGATGCTCCAAGAGTTCAGGTTTCATTGGCATAAATGGCACTACAGTCCATGACCAGAGAGAGGTCATGTAGCATCCAAAGGCTCACCTTCTCTAGGGAAGCAGAGCCATGATGGAGTCAGGTTCAGGATTCTCATCTCTGTTGCAAAGTCTTAAGTCATTATAGGTATGTGAAGGAAACTCAAACATCTGGCAGAATAACAGAACAAGCTTTGCATGTTTTCATTTTTAAAAGGACATTTTCCAGCTCAATTTCTATCCCTTTGTTCTCAGAAAAAGTAAAATAATTGTCACAATTCTGATACTATTAGGTAGTGGTGTCACTATTTGTTTTTAATAATTGGCACTGTTTTGTTAAAACTCAACTGTTATTGGGCCTCCCCTTCAATGTCTTTCTGTTACGTTAGTGTCCAACTCATCTATTAAAATCTTATTCCTTTGACCTCAACCAGGTTTTGATTAACTCAGACAATGTTTGAGTTCTGTTTCTATATTGTAAGCCTTTCTAGGGCCTTCTATGCCTTCAATTTAGGGTTATTTACATCTTTTAATCAATACTTTATTAATCACATTCTCCAACTCTGTTGTTCCAATGGATTGTGAGCTCCTTGAGGGAAAGGGTTCTGACACTTTTCATTTTTGTGTTCCCAGCACCTAGTATAGTAGGTACATAATGAACATATGTTGTAATATTTTGTCATTTTCTGACAAAGCTCAATAATTCAAAGTTTATTATAGTTGTTAAAAAGATAATCTGTAGCAGCAGACCATATAGGTAAATAAATAGGAAGAGTAAGATGCATTGGGGGTTTAAAAATATATTTTTTCCATTTCTTCTCCAAATATATTTTGGCTTCCATCTGAATAATTCTATTTCTTCCTCCATAACCTCATCAAATTATAGGACAACATTCATTTTTCATGTTAACTATTTCCCAAGATAGATACTTATTAGGTATCACTCAGATTAATCAGTAAGCCTTGCATAAATTGTTTGACTGTAATTGATTATTCTTACTGGTGCTGGAGATAAAATCTTCATCATCATCAATGCCTGATCCAGAATAACTGGGGGGTTTGTCTCTTTCGTCTTCATTGTCTTCATTTGGCTCCCAGCCTGCTGACATGGTATTTGAATCCGTACCTGTTGTGGTGACTTGCATTAGTGGCTGAGCTGGATGCCAAACAACCCATTCGACAAAGGAAGAAAATCAAGCACAGAGGCATAATGGACTGTCCGAGGTTACAAGAAAAAAGAGACAAAAAACCCCAAACTTCCATGTCTCGTTCTTTGGAGCCATGTATTTACAACTGAACATTCTCTTTAAAGAAGCTAAAAACGTAAGTATGGACACAACCTCACCAAGGGAGAAAAGAAAAAGCCAATGAAAATTCCCCATGGTTTCATATGTATTTATTAACTCACTAAACATATGTCTTTATAACTAGGATGACAAGAATTGAGTGGAAACTTTCACATGTGCCTATTTGCTTCGATTAGTCGCCTTCAGAAAAACCTTGGACTGTAATCTTATGTTGATCATTTCCCAAATCTCACAGTTATATGTCCCGTGTGCTAATTCATTTCTCGAACCTCTCTGGTATCAGATCACTATAGCTCTGAGTATAAATGAAAGCTACACTGGAGTTCCAAATAATACTTTAGCCTAGAGCAAAAAGGCTAGTCAATGGAGAAATCATTCATGGTATTTACTAGTCAACCAAAAGGATTGCCTACAGTGAACTATAGTTGACACTTCGGGAAATGCTCAAATTTCCCTTTCGGATGCAGTTACAGAAAAGAAAATGGAAAGCCTTCACCTCTTCTCAGTGATTATCGCAGAAAGCTCTTTACTGCAAAGGGTTTCATTCATTTTGAGGGGAATTCAGGCGTCTTTTGGCTTTGAATACAATTAGTGGCTACTTCAATACTAGTTCCATTGATGGAGGTTCTCTATATTTTGTAGAGTTAGCTATACAACTTTATTTTTTCATGAAAAGTCTAGAAATGTTTATGACTTAGATTATTTTAGAAGATATATGAACAATCATTTAGAGTTAAAAGTTTGTTCTGTCATCAAGAAAGATTTGCTTCCTTTTCAGTTTTCATATTAGCCTCCTTCTAAGCTATATTGAAAGAGCTCTGGTGGTGTAGTGGTTAAGGTGTTTGGCTGCTAACCAAAAGGTCGGTGGTTTGAACCTACCACCTTCTCTGTGGAGGACAGATAAGGCAGTCTGCTTCCGTAAAGATTTACAGCCTTGGAAACCCAGTGGGGGCCACTAGGAGTTAAAATTGACTCAATGGCAGTGAGTTTGGTTTTTGGTTTAAGCCATATAGAGGCGCTGTGATGGCACTATGGTTAAAGCATTGGGCTTCTAATCAAAAGGTCGGTGGTTTGAACCCACCAGTTGCTCTGCAGGAAAAAAGACAAAGGTGTCTGCTTCTGCAAATATTTACAACTTTCAAAATCCTATGTAGCAATTTTACTCTGTCCTAAAGTGTTGCTATGAATCAGAATGGACTCAGTGGCAGTGTTTTGTTTTTTTTTTTAAGCTATATTAATTCTATAGACTAGAAAGAAGAAATTTGCTTGTTAATACAAAACCAAACATACAGATCCCAGAGCTCATGTCCTTCTAAAATCATCACATAGACTTGTGAGACCAGAAGTGACTTTAGGCTTTGACAATATTCCCAGAGGTCAATCAGAATGATTGAAGACTGTCAAGAAACCATATGAAGTGAGACATTCATAACTCATTACCATCCATTTTGGTTGTTGTGTGGAGATGATTCTCGGAATGTGATGGTTGAAACCACCATGAAAACCAGTCCTTGACTTCTTGCCTCTTGGTTGTTGTTTCAGGAGTTGTGCCACTAGTGCTGGTCAAAGCTGTTGTAACCATGATTGAATTGATTGTTGAAAGGTTAATTATCAGTTCCTAAGGAATAGCAGTGTATATACTCTTACACTTTCACTACTCAAGAGCATTATCTATACTTGATAAGGATGGTGGAAAGAAAGAAAAAGCAAAGAAGTATCTTTTTTTCCCTCCAGTGGCCAAATCTGGAGTTCATAGAATATCAGAGATGGAAGGATTTTTTGTATCATCTGGTTCATGCTCCTCATTTTAAAGATGAAAACTTGTGTTGGACAGGTCTTCGGACTTGAAGTTAGAAGGCTAATTAACAACAGAAAGGTCTCAAGGAGGGCTTGAGACCTGTGTTTAGATTTTTAAAAAGCTCTAATATAAAAGAGGGATTAAAATTTTTGTCTCTGTTCTCAAGAGGTCAACCTATGAACCATGGGGGAGAATTTCACAGAGACAGATATTCTTACCAATATTGGATTTACAAAGTAATAATGTTAGCTATCCAATGATGAGTTTCTTTATAAAGTATTATGTTCCTACCACCAATAGGCACTGGATAATCACTTTGAAGTGAAGTTGTGTTACATAATCAGAAGGTTTGATTGAACCAGATCATTTAAGATTCTCTCCAAATCTGAGAGTCTATGATTCTAAAACCCAGGTTTCCAGAATCCTAGCCCTTGGATCTTCTACACAATCTCTCTTGGCCAACCAATATCATTCTCCTATAATTTAGGATATGATATTTCTGCTAGCAATAACAGACACATAATCCCAACAGTTCCAAACATAAGAAGAATGACATGCAAAGTAGAAAATTTATAAAAGATGCCTTTCCACTTTTCTCCATTTAGGGCCTCAATCTTGTACCAACCTTACCCATGGTCATGTTTTTATATCATCACTATATTTTGTAAAGCATAACAGAGCATTTTGAGTTCCTTCTTTAAAAAATAGAATAATCTGTCAGAAAGACAGAGATGAAGGGAACCAAGGGTCCCACTAATAAGACCAAAAGAAGAGAATTGGACATGAAACCAAAATTTGAAAACTTTCAAGACTGTCATTTTTGAAGCCATGATGTGCATCAGAAGGATATCAGATAAGAGAAGACCAAAAACTAAAATCAAGAGATTGAAACCATTATTAAACCCTCAAGTTAAAGAGTTAGGTTTAGTTTATCAAGATAGATTTCTTCAACCAAGAGAGCCCGGAAATGACCCAAGATGAAACACTGCCAAGAAGACTTTTGCCTCCACACCATTTGTTCTATAAAGATAAACAGTGTAAACATTTAAAAATACAGCATCACAATCTTTATTCTACAGCAATCTCTCTCTCATCTCCTCTCCTTCTCCCTCTCTCCCCATCACTATCTTAATCATTACAACACGGCAACCATAACATCAGCACAATTTTCCTTACAGTACAATGTATAGAAATAAAGGGTCTATTTCATTCAATGTTTGATAAGATAAGCAAACGTAATAGGCCATTGTTACTGCTCTTGTTCTGCAGAAGGAATGTCTAATTATTCTGAAATATGGTCATATCCTCTATTAATGAAAGTCAATAAATGAAGTGATACTTAGAATTGCCCATTATTACAGACCATGACGTTTTTCCCCTTTCAAAAGTTCCCAAGTCTAGTCACAATACAGTGCATGGATTTAGAGATAATATTCAACCATCCAGGGAATTTGTTAGAGGCCTAAATGCTAATGTCTAGGAGTAAGCCATCTCCTCAACTTGTTAGTTGAGGTCTGAAGTGTCCATGCCAGCATCCAGGGCCTACACTTCTTATCCATAGATTATCATTTCCATTTATTATTATTAACTTTGATAATTAAATCAACAGAAAGCAAAAGCATACATTTTCTAACAGACTTCTTTCTAGAGGACATATTGTGAATAAGTCTCAAAGTCAAAGCCTCTGAAGGAAAAATTATTCTGATTATATGCTCATGTTGCCAAAAGGAAAACAAGCAGGATAGTTAGGAGTGTCCACTCCTATTCCCAGACACACAGGCCTCTCTGGTAAATGAAATGGCACCCAACCCGTTCTCACCAAGATGGTGAAGGAGTGTCAGTCAACAACTTTGGCATAATAACGGGTGCCCTCCTCCTTCACAGTGAACAACCTGCCTTTCAGGACAACTGATAAGCAAAAGTTGTAACAGTTTACCTGTCGTTGCTGTTGTGACATCCTGAGTCTCAGGCTGTGAATTACCAAGCCAGGACCATAGCCAACTGTTTTGCTCCTGAGTTGTTGCGTGGTTGTCTGAGTGCACAGTTGCGGTAACTGGATCAATTATGAAAATATCATTTAGTGAGGTCCCACTGAAAAACCTTTACTCTCAGTTCTGTCTATATATAATGTCTGCATATATTCCATAGTGAATATAAGAGAAGAAAAATTGAGACCTGGTTTTATATTTCCAACCTTCTAAAGTCTCCCAGACTCAGGGTAATATCAGAAATGCATATTCTGTATGGATATAAGTTCAATGCTACTAATTTTTCAAACTGAGCCCCGTGAATATAGGCTAAGAACAAAATCAACCAGAAACTTCAACCTGTGATGAAAGAAATTTTCTATCTACTTGATTTGATGATTCAACAATCAATTAAATGTCTTAGACATAGCACTTCATAAGGTTGTTCACATTCATTTATCCTTAGAGTATTATTGGGAGTGATTGCCTGTATCTTTATGGTCTGTCCATCAGTATACTAGATAGATTATGGAGGAAACAGGTGTGTCAAATCTCCACCCATGCCAACCAACTTCAATTCAAGCTTTGTAATTGAACGGGAACTTTTAAAAGGGTGTGTGTTCAGAGTGGAATTCAGATAAAGCTTTATGGAGTGTCCATCTACTACTGTCTGTCACTGTCAACTTTAATTCAGAATGTGTATCAGGATAGAAATGAAACAGCCAAGTCAGAGAGATTATAAACTCTCTAATCAAATTATAGAAAGGATAATCAGTAAAATTTTGCAATTAATAATCTTACATCTGACTCTTCAGTTGGACTTGAGTCAAGAATGTTTTCCTATAGAGGCAGAATGGCAAAACTCATCAGGATAAATATCGGAACAAGTGGGGATTAAGAAAAAATCTTTTTGAGTCACGTATCCTTTTGAAAACCTGATATAAGTTATGGCCTCTCTCCTCAAAAAAGTGATACTACATATACACCCTCTCAAAATTTTGCACATAATTCCAGGAAGTTCTTGGATACCTTATGGATGGTCTCTGAAACTCCTGACACTCCATGAACCCCAGATTTTCAACCCCAGGTTAACTCAATATATGCCAAATATCAACAACCTGCCTAATATGTTCTATGCTGTAGAGAACACATTAGATAAGAATAGAGGGATAGGAGCCAATTTCACCCATGATGCCCCTGCCTCAACCTGAGTATCCCCTGGAAAATCTAGACACCTCCTTGTCACTTCAGAAACTTTATTGAAGATGCAAAGTTCCCATCACCTTCACCCTATAATGTACCAGGAAGAGACCAACAGAAAATAAACACAGGATAGAAACAGGCAATATTTCTGTCTTCCTGAAAGGAGTTGTGTGAAAGAGAAACATAGAAAAAGCTATTGCTTAGCTAGCAGAGTTTCTAAGTTTCCCCACCCAAGCAACCATTGTCAGACCAAGACTTTATACATATATACATACATACATACATACATATATATATATATATATATATGTATATATGTATATGTGTATATATATATTTGGTATATATATTCCTTTGACACCCAGAAGACAAGAAAGTAGAGCATTCCAAGCCTGGCATGAGCTTCTTGAATTAGTTTAGGTTTCTGGATCCCAAAGAGTTCCCGATCACTAATAGGAAAGAGGCTGATCACTGGTCTCCAGGTCAACTTTTCCAAGAATAACACTTATAATAAAAATCCCACTGGAAGTTAAAATCCACCCAGATGTTTCTTGTTGGCTTTCCCTATAGCCACCCACTAAGGATCCTTAAGGAATGAATGAGGCAGCTAAGCCAAAGGCGGGTTTCTATGTTCTCAGCCAGCAGTCCTCTTGACCTCTGCCCTCCTGTATGCATTAGCAAGGCTTTACATACTCCCTGTTATAAGTCTCAATTCTCAGCCAACAGTCAGATTTTGGGTTTACAATAGAGTTCCATGCGGGAAGTGTTAGTACTAACTCTCTGCAGCGTGCCCTATAGCACTTTTAAGTTTCCATCTGGCTGTTTTCTTTAACACCCTTCTTGGCCTGAATTGATCGATTTGGAGCCGCCATTGGCTTTCTTGAATCTTATAGCACTTCAAGAACTATTAGATTAGCCATGGACTCATCTCTGATGGCAAATTAGTCTCTCTCCTCCTTAACTACTTAAAAAAATTAGCTAAGTGTTCTGGAAGGGGGGAAGCACAATTCTTTTCTCAACCCAAATCCTGAATCACATTCTAATTAAATTTCATAGCACTCCTCTACCTTGATTTCTGAACTAGTATACAGCCTCCATGAAGGTAGGTCTTGATCAGTATTTACCAGTAACTACAATCTCTAATACCTAGAGCAGTGTCTGGCAAAGACACTATTGAATGGATGCATGCCTTACTAATCCTTATTTCTTTTAAAACTACTTTCCACTGGATCCCCAATATCTAGGATAGGCCTGCTATATAGTAGATCCTCAAAATACATTTATTGACTAGCTAACATAGACAGGAAAGGCACAGGCCCTAAAAGATGTGCTATGACTGCTGATATAATGCATCAATTGCTTTTCTAAAGTACATGGAAATACTTATAATTTTATATAAGCTATCTGTGGTTTGAATTTTAAATTCATCTAGTCCCAAAGATGTATTTTGTCAAGATTGTCTTCTTTCGTGGGAAATGGTACATTAAGAGTAGGCTTCTTCTGCTTCAAGGTGAGACCACTAAGTGTCATGTTTGCCCGACATCTGACAAAAACTGCATGTTCTAATAACGAGCATGTTTGCCAGGCTGCTTTTAAAAGGCAGGGAACTTAAAGAAGCAGCAGGTAGCCTACGGCGCTGCCTCACGGGTTTGCAGAAACTTCTCTCAAAAATGGTTGTCCACAGAGCTGCAACCAATGAGGTGACACAATGTCCAGGGAACCAATAATCCTAGAAAGCCTGGGCAATTTGAAAAGATCTGCTTTTTGAAATGCTTCAGGGGATTAGCAGGGAATGAGTGTAAACCCAGGCTTCTGCATATCATGTCCTCAGCAAGTTAAAACACCGTTGAGCAAGGAAACTTAACTCAGAGTGCTCTTGAGGTTTTCCCAGCTTCTGGGTGATACGAGGGTTAGAAAAGGGCCCCATCATGAGCACTCACAAACCCATAAATTTCCGCCACAGGCTTTGGAGGGCCAGAGTTCCACCCCTCAAGAGCTTTAGCCAGGAAAAGAGAAAATCCAGACCATACTAGGAAAGCAGCTCAAGATGCAGATGCCCATTTGAGTTTGAATAATCCTCCACAGAAGGAATGCAGCCAATGTGGAAATCTGTTTCAAAATAAACCAGAGGGAAAAAGAAGAGAAGAGAAGGAGACAAGAAGGAGATGTAAACACTTGTCAAGAAAACTGAAGCGCAATGGGCAAAACCTACAAAATGCAATACAGTGTTTACACATCTCCCCTCTTGTAGTTAAAAAGAATGAATAACCCACACAAACAGAATGAGTATTAAGAGCTTTCCCCAATAGGCTGGAATATAGAATTCTTAAGCTGATTTCATTTGACCTGATAAGCCCTCCAGATATGCTTACTTGAATCAAAGAGAAAAAAAAAATTGTTTAGTAAATCATGGCTCATGAGTACCATTGAATATTATGCAATTAATAACGTAAGTATAAACTATATGAAAATATATAGTTAAGTGAAAAAGGTAGCAGACGGAATGGTATGTATATTCTATCATCCCAGCTTTATGAAAACAATCTTTTACACACATAGATAAAAATATGAAGGAAATGTGGAAAATGGAAATAGCTTTTGTATCAGGCTTGTATTGCCACCATATACCTGGGGACAAGAGCAAAAGAGAAGCTCTTCTATAAACTTCCAATATAGCACTTCTTGTTCCAAGCTAAGAAAAATGGAGTTGTACACAGAAAAAAAAAAAAAAGTTGTAAGCTGTAGTCAGCAATTCATACAGAATACTATACCAAACAGTCCACCTCCCCAAGCGATGTCATCTATATTTAGAGACAGGAGAAAATCAACATATGAGTACATATCACTCAGGAAAGTCAGAGACGGTTTGCAAAGAAATGACTATTGGAAAATACAGTGATTCATGTTCCTTACTGGTAGTGGGCGTGTTCACTGTGTTGTCAGACACCCAAGGACTGGCTTGGTCTTGAGTCGGGTCTGCAGTTGGAAGGTGGGTGTGGAAGATGCTATAACCTCCTGAAGTACTTCTCTCACTGGATGATCCACTACTCACGTCATAGTCATTAGGGTTGCTGGGATAGATGTCTTCAGGGTTGGTTCTGTATTCTCCTTTCTGGGTATAGCGGGTCCCATCACGATTAACAATAGCTGAGAGAAAGAGAAAGAACATTCAGAACTTCACAGCTGACGTTTTCTGAGTATAGAAAACCCCCCAAAATAAAAGCCTAACTCACTGTCATCAAGTCAACATTAAGAGAGTGACTTCAAGAAAAACAGCACCTACATACCTATGTTGTGATAGGGTAGGCTGTGCATAAAAGGAGTGTATCCTCATAGCATTGGACCAGACAGGGGAAAAGAGGATATATTTGAGTCTCCAAGTTTGAATCCTAGCTCTGCCATTTACTAGCTGTGTAGCTCTGGACAAGATACCTCTCAGAGCTCATTTCTTCATTTGTAAAATGGAGATAATGATATTTTATTAATGGGGTTGTTTTAAACATGACATAGCACATTGTACATTAAGTGCTCAGCCCAGTATTCAGTAAATGGTAATTCTTCCTCTTGGTTCTCTGCTCTTCCTTCTTAAGTACATGTAAAATGTGCTGCTTTTCACTCCATCTCATGCCAGAAAAGATTTGAAATAGCATTGAAGAGGTTATTAGCATCAAAAGGGCAGATATATTTGCAAATCCATGAAGAATTGGATTTTCTTTCTAAGGGGCAAATTTCATCCATTTAAACAAACCTCTATCCCTGGCTAGGAAATCGGCATGTCTAAATATTGACAGAGCTGGAGCCCTTCTCCATGAAATTCAACCTTAAAATTAACAAGTAGAGAAGAAGATCAAAAGCTTTGGTTTGAACAAGCAAATGATTAGAATGGACAGGAGGAGAAAAAGCAAGGATGAATTTGTTCACTGTTCCTCTATAAAAGGATTTGCTGTCTTCCAGCTTAGTCCCTTCACTATACAAGTGTTCATTTAACTGAAATCATGTTCTGCCATATTGCAATGATGGAACCAAAGATTCCTCTTGTCCACCCATCTAGCTCGACCAAATAGAACTATTAATAAAACATGTTGTTGTTGTTGTTGTTTTGCCGTTGAGTCGGCCCCGACTCATAGTAACCCCTCCTTGGGTTTCCGAGGCAGTATCACTATGGAAGTAGGATTGCCCAACCTTCCTTCCGAGGGTGGCTGGTGGGTTTGAACCGCCAGCCTTCTGGTGAGCAGTCAGGTGCCTTAGGCACTATGCTACCAGAGCTCCTATTAATAAAACATAAATGCAACTAAATAAATAAATATTCCAAACTCTAAATCACCTTGAAAATCTCTGCTAATGCAGATCTGATAAAGAAATACTATTGATGACACTTACATGGGTCTGGACTTTGAATGAGATCCGTGGGGACCAAGGAAATGGGACGTTTATTGAGTATCTACTCTGGGCAAAACTTTATCTTGTTTATTTTGGACATGTTATTGGCAAAAATCAATGGCTAGAAGAGGATATCTATTACATTATTTGTAAAGTGGAAGGTCAGCAAAAGCAGGAAAACCCGCCATGACATGGATTGACATGGTGGCCAAAACAACAGGCTCAAGCATACGAATGTGATTGTGAGGATGGCATAGGATGGGGCAATGCTTTGTTCTGTCACGCATAAGGTCTTACACATGAGTGGGAGTCAACTGAATGGCAACTAACAACAACAACAACTTTGAGTCAGGCATGCACAGAACATATTATCTCTCAGTTTTCAGAACAATTCTCATATGCAGTTCCACTAAACATATGAGATAACCAAGGTTCAAAAACATTAAGGTTCTTCTGAGATCACTAGGTGTTGTTATGTGCCGTCAAGTCGGACCCGACTCATAGTGACCCCTCCTTGGGTTTCCGAGGCAGTATCACTACAGAAGTAGATTGCCCCATCTTCCTTCGAAGGAGTGGCTGGTGGGTTTCAACCGCCAGCCTTCTGGTTAGCAGTCAAGTGCCTTAGCCACTATGTTATCAGAGCTCCCAGGAGTAAGTAAATAAAAATTTCACATCAGGCCTGACATGGCACATCTCACACAGTAGCCATTGTGGTATGGAGCCTCTCCTTCCCTTTGCAAGACACAGACCAGGGACAGTACTTTCTATAACAGTGGGGGACTGAGTTTGTGTGGTCTGGGAAGATTCTCCTCTCTTTTCCATTACCAGCACAGTTACATCCACACTGAACAGGTCTGGCTCAGTGGCAGAAATCAGACCTTCTCAACACTGTGACACTTGTCAGACAAATGGACTCAGAGGCAGTGAGATCAGAGTTAACGGGTCTAAGTTTTAAGGTTCTGGTTGGGATTTTCTGTTTTCCAAAGTACCAGGTACATACTTCTATAGGCAACCCAGATGACTTTAGGAGAACCTGGTATAAATAATGTGGAAACACATACCAGGAAGCTTACACCCTTCATAATTACCTTTCAATACTCAGTTATATCAAACAGAAAAATCTTTGTTTGGGGCTGGAATGCTCCTACCCTTAACACTTATTAATCTTCCCTTTGTAAGAAAGAGCATGGTTTAGATTCAGAGCCTTTTCCAACTAGAATTTAAGGATGTTATTTAATTTTTCTAACATTTAAATTTACTTTTTAGGTTACCTTCTACTTATGACAAGTGATGTTGGTTTTCCATTTGCAATTTCTTGTCTAAAATAAATGTATTATGAGTAGAAAACACTGGGTAATTAAAAGAAAAATATCAAGTAAATGATAGTATTGCATACATGGATATGAAAAAAATGTGAAAGTGGTTTTCAAATGACTGAAATTTGAGGAACAAACTATTAGGGTAAAGTGGAGCACAGACTCAATATCCATAGCAGAGAAAGAGGAAGAGATACTGAATCACAGCTAACCATCTCAAATTTTAGGGAAAGATTGCTAGTCTATTAACATATAAAACATAGCAAATGCACTTGATCCCTTTCCCAAGAATGGGAAAGCTCAGTCAAGATTAGAAAAGATACTTACTTATGGTAATTGGTCCTTCAAAGGCATTGGGCAAGTCTGTGACTGATGTACAGTCTTCTTTGTCTTCTGGAGCTATGGGGTAGGAAAAAAAGGTATGAGAACTCCAAGAAATACAAGCAATGTTTATCCCCATTTCTATTAGTTAATTAGGATAGAGTTTTAGTATAACTTGTCCCAAATAACTTTCCTTTTCTGAAATTGGGTAAGTGTGCTAGGAACATCAATGATCTTTGTGTTTTCCATTTTAATTTAGCTTCATAAATTTCTGAAAACGTCCTGGTTCCCCTATCTGCCCTGACAAATTTATTCATTATATGTGTGTGTGTGTATACATATGTGTGTGTGTATACTTAAAATAAATAAGTAGTCTGGTATATCTGTAATACACACACACACACCAGGCACTGTGGGAGGGAAAGATATAATGCTGAATAAGATAAACATGACCCTTCTCTAATGAACCTTACATTAGAAAGGACTTTAAAATTGTATTATTATAAAAGTAATGTGGGGCACTGTAAAAATGAAACAATAAAGAAATGTATGAATTATAATGAGAAAATAACTTGTAATCCCAGAAACCCACAGAAGTAATGGAAAAACATGGCAGACACACCCAATCAAATGTTTATCAAGATGAACATCATGACAAGCTAAAGAGTAAAATTAAATAATTAGCAAAGAATTTACTTGATAGAAATATATATAGAAATAAATTAACTTTCAGCCTTTCATTAATGAATTATTTTTATTTATTCTTTTGAAGACAATAGTTAAATAAAAAAATAATTCATTAATAAAAGGTTAAAAGTTAATTTTTTTTTTTTTTTCTCTGTATTGACTACTTCTTAACATTTAGTTTCTGAGGTTGGCCACTTTGGGTCTAGGCACTCAGAAAATTTTCTGAGATACATTACCGGTAGTCCTCTCAGCAGCTCTGTGTGAAGCCCTCTGAGAATAAGCCCTGAGAGTTCAACCCTGTATGCTATCCCGTGGGATCCTAAAAGAAGACTTCATAGTATCCTAACCAACAATTCCATTCATGCCAAAATGCTCCATGCAGTCATTAGACTTTTTTGTGTTGTGCTCTAAAATCTCAGGGAGCTTTAAACTGGCTTTGCAGTTATGGTGGTTTCCATTTGTGCACTATACCTTTCACATAATGTGTGTCTAAATTTAAAATGGCAATTTACTTGATAAACTGGCTTCCCCCAGAGCTGCTTCTTGTGAAAAAGGATGGATAGAAGTATGTATGTATATAGGCAGATTGCTATCACAAGAAGGCTATTATCATAAGTGTTTTACGCATCCTGCCATTAATCATTAGCTGCTTACAACACTGGACCAAAAAGAAAGAAAGGAAGAACAAAGCAGATTTCACTTGCTCCCTGGTCCATGGGAGCATCCCTTCACACAGATAAAAAGGGTATCTTTTACTCGCCTGTTTCATTGGCTTCCTCATTTAGTTTCACTAAAACTAGCAGCTTTACATATTCAATTAGAGACCAACAGGTTTTAGGAAAAGCCATTCTTGCAAAAGTTGATCTAAAAGAATTCTCAGAAGGACAACACTTAAGAGAAAGGTCCCATCCTTGGTGAGGCCATCCCCAACATGCAATCCACATGAACCCTCGTCACTCCCCACACAACCATCACCATCACAGATCAGACTGCTCTCATTTCTTCTCCATACTTGACACACATGATATCTACAGTAATCATAACCTTGTTCATTTAATTTAATGGCTATTAATGGCACATCTCTCAGTTCCTCTCTCTAACACACCCCACCCCCACATAGTAATACCTAAACTTCACAAGATGGGTAACCTTATCTGTCTTGTCCAGCTCATTTATATGTGATGGGGTCAGAGAAGTATCCAACAATTGAATAAATTAAAAGGATGGGTGGGAGTACTAATATAATTAATTGGCTGAGTCCAATCTTCCAGTAAGCATATCTAAGATGTTGACTTACAAAGTGGTCTGCTAACATAAACATGTTCAGAGAGAGTTTAGATAAAGAATGGCAATACCATAAGAAATAATTCAGTGAAGTTACAGATATGCCAGACTACTTGTTTATTTTAAGCATCTACTCAAGACTTACATGCCAGACTATATAATTAAAAAAAAATGGGAGAAAAAAGAAGAATATATTCCTGTTCCTGCTTTTGAGGAATCTACAAAGTCATGGAGATCAATCATAACCAATACTTCTTTAGCTTTTTACAATTTTCAAAAAACTTCCCCAAGTTTTTCAGAAGTAGATCACCAGGCCTTTTTCCAAACATCTCTGAGTGGCCTCAAACCTCCAGCTTTTTGGTTAGCAGCCAAACATGTCAACCATTTGCACCATCCAGGGATTCTGTCAAGGTCAAGAGTCTTTCCAGTGAGATCATTTTCATGGAGCAGAAGGTTATCAAGGGCTTTCCTTTACTTAGTGCCCCTATCATCTGCCTCTGAACCAAGACATTTAGAATTTATTTCTCCTTAGACACATACTCTTCTCCCATTCCTTCACGTGTTTGTCTTGTTGCCTCAACAAGATTGCTAATGCTTTTAAGACAAGAAATGTGCCCCTGGTACTTTCCTTACTCAAGTCTGCCAACCATCACCAAATTCAAGCATAGCTGCAAGTAACAGTAGTGCCCTGGGAATCTCCAGGATTTAAGGTTTAATAGAATGGAGCACAACATGAAAACAACTAAGACAGTCTTCTTAATGATTAGAGCATTTGTTCAAAAGGACTCCTTTATGCTCCAATTCACCTTCACTTTTTAAAAAGCATCAAATCTGGCAAGCATACTAAGATGGATGGTGACCCAAATGTGCAATTCATACACTCACACTTCTATGTCAGATAACAGGGCCTCATTAGATAGGGTTTCACTCCATTTAATGAGCACTGCATCCTGGGAAAATTAGGGCTGGTGAGGCTTTCCTGAACCCAAGGAATTGTTAGAAAGACTGAGTTCAGGAGAGCTGTATTCTCAGAAACCTTGGCTCCACCCCACAAAACTGCCAACAGAAACAGTAATTATTCAGTCTGGCCAGTCTTCCAGTTCCATATACAAACGCATATTCCTCAATGCTTGATATATTCTAGGTATCCAATAAGTATCTGTTGAATAACTCAGAGAATGAATAAAGGAATGAATTCAGAATCCACCCCTAAATTCTACCTCAAAAGAGAATGAAGTGATGGTTGCACAGCATGACTGATGTCATTGAGTCTATTGAATTGTACATGCAAAAAATATTGAATGGAGAAATGTTGTATTCTTTATATTTTTACAAAAATGAAATTTTCCAAAAAAAAGGGAGGGGGAGAGAGAGAGAGACATTTCACATAAAGCAAACTTAAAAATTAATTCAGCACAGTCTTCTGTGATGTTAACATGGAGGTCACTGGGCTTAGCTGGGCCTTATGGCTGAGAGGTCAGGAAATGTAAATCGTGAAGGCTTTTCAAGTGCCTGCCATGTTTCAAAAAAATATTGCTGAAATTTTAAGCTTAGAGAAGCTATCTGCTAAGACCCAGCTGCTTTGGTACCTGTGGCTAGCTTATGAAAGGATCACACTACAGGGACCTGATCACCTGCTTGAAGTTATCAAGCTATGTCAAGGTCAAGAGTCTTTCCAGTGAGATCATTTTCATGGAGCAGAAGGTTATCAAGGGCTTTCCTTTACTTAGTGCCCCTATCATCTGCCTCTGAACCAAGACATTTAGAATTTATTTCTCCTTAGACACATACTCTTCTCCCATTCCTTCACGTGTTTGTCTTGTTGCCTCAACAAGATTGCTAATGCTTTTAAGACAAGAAATGTGCCCCTGGTACTTTCCTTACTCAAGTCTGCCTACCACAGTACTGAGCACATACATTGATCAATGAATACTCCTTTTAAAACATAAGGAAAAAAATTATAAAATAAGCCTATCCACATTGAGTAAATGTGGAAAACAGAGAAAAATACTATTCCTAACTTCACTACATTTATTCAGTTATTTTGGTATGTTATAAAAAACCATTTCCCATCAAGTTGATTCTAATTCATGGTGACATGTGTGTCAGAGTAGGACTGTGCCCCATAGGGTTTTCAGTGGCTCATTTTTGGAAATACATAGATCTCCAGGCCTTTCTTCCAAGGCTCCTCTGGGTAGAGTGGGACATATCCTCAGTAATTCTCAGGTTTCAAGTGAACTAGTCCTCCTCTCCCCGAAAGAAGAGGAAAGTAAACAAATACTATTGCCTCTCTGCCCCGTGGACAAATCCAACCTCTTAGCCAAAGATAAGAGCAGGGAGAAACATCTTAGTAGCAGCTTGCATAAATGCCTTCAATTCTAGTCAATAAAACAGTGTGAGTTTCTACCTTTTTGAGTTAAGGTTCTTCTGGCAAGTGAAACTAACTTGTAAAACAGCTGAGACAATGTGAATGCATAACTGCCCAGTTTATTGCATATACTCATTCAACAAGATTCAATGGGAGAAGCAACAAGCAGTGCCCAGAGACTCTCAGGAGTCTACAGTCTCAAGCTAGCCCTAGCCCACATGACTTATCCTTTCAACTAAAGCACAAAGTCTTCCCAACGTCTTTCCCTGATCTTTTGCACCATGGTGGAGCTAAGTAGGCAGGAGTTGTTGCTCTGTGTCTATGTCCTCACATACTCTGCATGTGGTTATCCAGAAGGCTGGTGGTTCAAATCCACCAGCACTCCTTGGAAGGAAAGCCAGGCAATCTACTTCCATAGAGATGCCACCTCAGAAACCCAAGGAGGGGGTCACTATGAGTCGAAATCAACTGGGCAGCAGTGAGTTTGGTTTTCGGTTTGGTATCCTTATTATAATATGAGTAGAATGAGAAAGTGGGTCTGAGTCATATACTGTTCAATCTCAGGTTCTCTCCTCCTTTTGGTCAAATTCCATTTGTTTTCTTTGCTCATGTAACAGGGAGAAGTAAACATTCTATAGTTTCCTCATCTTTGTTTTGTGTGTCTGCTCCACGGATGTGGTAACTTATATATATGTGTGTCAGAAGTTACTTGCTTCACACATTTCAACTAATTAGACTTCATAGTTTCCCCATCTCCTAAACTCTCGATTTCCCCCTCTGAATTCTCACTCTGATCTGTATCCAATAGTGGGAGGATAGTGTAGCCTGAAGCCACTGATATAATCTCACAATTTCTTTTATGTCCCTATTTTACCTTAAAAATCCATGGAGATTTTATATCCAAGTACCATATATAACATCTGTATTTGTCTTGAACAAATAATGCCATAAGTCATTTTCCAGCTAACTTAATATTTCCCTCCAATCTTCAAGGAAAAGATCATCCAAGAAGGGATGCCAAGTTTATCTTGTGGCTTCACGTTCTTCACACACTCTCAAACCTTCTGGGGGAACAGAAGGCCCAGTTTGAGATGTAAGACACTCGATTGCTCGCATTCAAACTTTTTACATGTATGTTTTTGACATTTCTTAGATGATCTAAAGATTCATGATGCAGAGAATTCTTCAATTTTACTGTGGTCTGAATCCAAATGGTAAGTATGTGCTTCTAGGCTAATGAATGAAAACAAGTCCCATAGCTAGAAGAAAGTCTGGCCAGCTGCCCAGTGTCCACAACTTAACTTGGCTTTTTTATTCTCTAGTGGTTAGGCTCTGCAATAGTTGGCTAAGGAACACTCAAGAAAGTCAAGGGCCTACTGTATATCCTTCCTAGCCTTCTCTCCCACCTCCAAAATATACTAAATAACTCTCATTTAGTTAAGCCATTTGGCTTGCATCCAATGCTACCATAGTTCATGTCACTCTCCTATGCAAAACGCTGAAGTAACTTCCCATCACACTGAAAACTGAATCCAAACTCTACCATCGCCTAGAAGGGCCTGTGTGATGTGGCCTTTGCTTACCTCTCTGACCTCATTGCGTGGCATTCTCCCCTCTGGTCACCATGTGTTAGCCTCCCTGGCCTCCCTGCTGTTCTTGGAACAGACCAAGATGTTCCTACTTGCTCAGCTTTGCACTGGGTATCCACTCTGCCAATGGGCTCACTCTCTCACTTCATTCAGGACTTTCCCAAAAGCACCTCCTCAATGGGGCTTTCCTTGACTACCTTCTCTAACGAGCATCCCTAGTACTCTTTAGCTCCTTACTTTGCTTTCTTTATTCTAATTTTTGTGCTAGCCAAACTTTTTCTTTTGCATTTGACTTTTTAAAATTGTTATAAAAATATAAAGAACACATTTCCCTATTCAACATTTTTCACATGTACAATTCAATAAAACTAATTACATCAATCATGTTTGCAACCATCACTAATGTTCTTTGCCCAATTTTCCATTTCCATATACAAAAACTTGATGCTACCTAAACAATGCCTCTTTCCTCATGCCTTCCACCCCTAGTATTACTCTCTCTGACTTCATACAAGGTATTTATTGTTTGACATCCCAGTTTAGCATGGAAGCACCATGAAGACAGGAATCTTGTCTCTGCTGTAGGATTTCCAGTGAATATTTGTTATATGAATAGAAGTTACTCTGAGATCAAACCACTGTCAGTTATGCTGCCAAAGGGCTGCAAAAAGCCAAGGCAATCCACTTGGAACCAACCTGAAGCATTGAAACAATACGTGTCATACTGGGAGGTATTGGATGATGTGAGGATGTACACCCCTGTGTTGTTGGCAGCACAGATGGAGTTGGGGGTGATCCGGGGGATCACCACATGCCCGTCTATGAACCCGTACCTGCCAAAGAAAAACAAGAGGTTACCAACCTGCAAGACTGATGCGTGTTTCATAATATTTATGGGATGACATGTAAGGTAGTGCAACACTTCACTCAATTCACCCAGAGGTTTCAATAACTGTGCTACGTGAAATCCAAAAATAACATCAGAGAAACAGAGGGGGAGAGATCAACCAAGCTGACGCACTCACAAGGGGATTTTATTTAGATTCCTAGGAAGAGATTTTGTTTTCCATTTTTAATAAAGATGATCCATGGAAGCAAAAATTTGTTTCAAATAAAATTTGTGGGCAGTGGTGTCAAGTAGGTTTGAACGAGCAGAGGGAAGCCCGAGACGGGCCACAGGAGAGAGAACAATGACCACCTGATGATGGGAGAGCCACTCTGGCTGCAGATGGCCTTCACATCTTCGCAAAAGCACATCTTTGATGAGCAGCTCCCACAAGATAGGAAACTAGTGGCTCTTCATTTCAATCCAAAATTTCAAACTCCGAGTGTGAGGAAGGTGAGCTTGGAGTGGTTTCACCTGCCTTATTTTCCACCCCACCCCCACTCTTCTTTCCTGGCCTCACCTTTTCCTTCTGTTCCCTTACTCCATGCTCCATTATTCCAAAGATGAAGCTTTTTTTTTTTTTGCCTCCTAAGCACCCCAAGCATGGTTCTATTGTCGGTAGAAATAAATTTGCCATCATTAAAATGGGAGTCATTAAGCAAGTACATAGCAGAGTCCCTGAGTGGTGCAAACGGTTAATGCTCAGCTGTTAACCAAAAGGTTAGAGGTTCAAGTTGACCCAGAGATGCCTCAGAAGAAAGGCCTGGTGATCTACTTCTGAAAAATCAGTTGTTGCAAGCCCTGTGGAGCACAGTTCCACTCTGACACACAAGAGTTCACCGCGAGTTGGAGTCAACTTGATGGCAACTGGTATAAGTAGATAGCAAGGCCTCCTTTAACTCAGATTTCCCCAGAAGCAACACAGCCAGAGAAACACTGAAGCCCCTCTACCCTACCAAGGAGTGTCTGGGAGTATGTAAAGGAAAGGCTCTTTGCAGATACAACATTTAGTATCTCAGCCTGTTTGTACCAATGTACTCACTAAATACTTATTTCGTAATTTCTTCTGAATATAAAATGCCTCAAATGATGAGATGTGGGCTGAGAACATACCATTTGCAAGGGAAGATGGGTGGCAGGGGGAGGAGCACAGAGGGAGAAGCCACATCCCAGAGGTTTTCAAAAATGTAACGCTGGCTAAAACGCGCACCCTAGATCCTTTTAATCTTTCTTGCCAGGGGCAGGAGTACAGAGTGCAGTGCTCACAAGACCGGAGAAACGTCTAAGTTTGAAGTTGCTAAGCACATAGAACTCATTATGTCTATGTTGCAATTGCAGCTCACGTGACTAATAACTCATCTGAAAGGACAGACTGGTTTACCTGAAATCTCCACAGCTCGGTGGGGGCATGGGATGCAATTAAATGTTAATAAGTTTCCATATATCTGAGAATTGCTACTAATCAGGGTGGGGCAGACAAAAGAGTAGCAGCTAAGGTTTTATCCTAGGCTGGGAGACTCTGCCATCTGTCCCCGGCAGGTATCTGATTCATAGCTACCAGAGCAAAATTATGGAAATGAGTTTTGCAACACTTAATGCTAGTTATGGGTGGATTTTCTTTTTGGCACAGTAGGTTTTTTTGTAATAATAATCCTTGGTGAGTTGATGTACCCCTCCTCACGCTGCATCATGCTGAGGCATATGGATAACACTGAAATTCTAGACTCTAATACCATTTCTTTGTAAGTTTTATTGCATTTTCACCATATCATGCTGTCAGCAAATTTTATGTGTCACACTATAAATGAGGTGGAGATATTAAAATTTATATGTGACTACATGGCATGAGTAATTTACTCTTCACAAGGAGGAAAGAACAGTCAAAATTTAATTCCATTTCACTTTTGTTCTCAGTTCTTCAGTATGGCTCAATCATTAAAATCTGGGTTCTGGGGAGATCTGGTGGTATAGTGGTTAAAGCATTTGGCTGCTAACCAACAGGTTGGTAGTTCAAACCTACCAGCTGCTCCATGGAAGAAAGATGAGGCAATCTGCTTCTGTAAAGATTTATAGCCTTGGAAACCAAATTGACTCGATGGCAGTGAGTTTGTTTTTTGGTTGATTTGGGCTCATATGAAGCAGGTTCTTCCTGACTCCTTCACCTATAAGTGGTGTGGCCCAGGGTAAGCTGCAGAATGGGTCTAAGCCTCAGTTTCCTCATCCAAAAAAATGGATACCTGCAGTACAGTTTGAGGACTACATGAGGGATGTGGTGAGTGGGCAATGAGTCATAGAGGACTTAAGTGCTCAGTGTTTGGCCAGTGGCAATAGTAAGAACTTCCCCTGGTTCTCAGCACATGAAAATACTTCTGTATTTCACAACTTGTCTTGTCTGTATTTCACAATCAAAATTCAGTTTACTAAATCTGCTCTCTTAGGCTAGTGAGGCCACTACTCAAGGCCATACTTAAATGATTAGCCTTGGGAGTAGAATAAATGGATTTGCTTACTGACTTTCCGTCATTGCACTCTGCAGCCCAAGCTCAGTATCTACCAGAGCTCTCTCTCTTTCTCTGCCCTGGTTTATTCCCACAGACCAAGCTCTGAACACCTATAAAAATCCTTTCCCATCGTCAATTCTGACTCACCGCAACTCCATGTGTTACAGAATAAACTACACCACAGGGTTTTCTTTCCATGTGTTACAGAATAAACTACACCACAGGGTTTTCTTGGTTGTAATCATTTTTTTTTTTTTAATTGTGATTTGGTGGAAGTGTACAGAGGAAATTGGTTTTCCATTCAACAATCCATACAAATTCTGTTCTGTCATTCACTGCAATCCCCACAGTGCAACAGCATTCTTCCCACTTCCTCCTTGCGCCCACTCCTTCCCTCCATTCTTTCTTCCCATCATCCTTCCTTCCTACCCCCTTCCGCCTTCCTCACTCTAACTTGGTTATAATCTTTACACCAGCAGATCACCAGACCCTTCTTACACAGTGCCACTGGGTGGGTTCAAACCTCCAACCCTTAAGATAGTAGCCAGTGATCTTCTGAACACATACTGTTGTGTGCTGTTGAGGCGATTACCACTCATAGCATCCTATAAGACAAGCTAGAACTGCCCCATAGGGTTTCCCAATCTTTAGGGGAGCAGAGTGCCCAGACTTTTCTCCCACAGAACAGCTGGTGGGTTCAAACCAGGAATCTTTCAGTGAGCAGCTGAGACCCTAACCATTGTGCCACCAGGGCTCCTCTGAACACACATAAACCAAACCAAATCCACTGCTGTTGAGTGAATTCTGGCTCATAGTGGCCTTGCAGGACAGAGGAGAATTGCCTCATAGGGTTTCCAAGCCTGCAATCTTTATGGAAACAGACTGCCTCATCTTCCTCCTGTGGAGCAGCTAGCTGGTTAGTAGCTGAGTGCTTAACCACTGTGCCACCAGGGCTCCTCTGAACACATATAGACAGATGCCCATAATCATCTGCTTTCTTTATTTCAGAGCAGTGCTGCCCAACTGAATTTTCTACAATGATGGAAATATTCCATATTCTGCATTGTCCAATACAGTAGCCACTAGTCGTTTGTGGCTAATTGAGCACTTGGAATGCAGTCCATACCACTAAAGAACTGCAGTTTTAATTTTAATTAATCTCAATGTAAATAATGCTGTGCAGCTAGTGGCCACTGTGCAATCTTAAAGATTCTCCTTTTCCTTTTTATCAGAAGAATCTCAGCCACCAGGTATAACATGGATGTATCACTCTGTAATCTAGGATGCATGGTAGATGTGTTTAACTTACATTTAATGATTTCCATAGAGGGCTGTGCAGCGTGGCTTTTAAAAAACCGTCTCCGTGTGAGAATGTGTGTGCATTATAGAGAGAAGGGAACCATGTTACCAAATTCCTTTGCCAAAGCAGATGGGCAGCTGCAGGCTGGGTGGCAACTTCAGAGCAGCTGTTGAGATAACTCAGACCTCTTATAAGCCGGTCACTGTGGAGTCGACTCGTGGCCACCCCATGGGTGTCAGAGTAGAACTATACTCCATTTGGCTCTATTTTTCTGAAGTAAATCTCCAGCCCTTTCTTCCGAGGCATCTCTGAGTGGCTGAGCAGTTGACTGCACCCCCCAGGGACTCCTGAACTCATACAGTGCAAACAGAACAAACCAAAAAAACCCTTCAATGTGGTCATCACCACTGCTCATTCTTAATGTGGACCACTGGCCACAAAACCATCAGAAATTACAAAATAAAGTTGTTGCCTATTGCGATTACCCTGGAACAAAATGGCGCCTCTCTGTGGAGAATCCTTATATCTAATAGGAGGTGTTCCAGGGTCTCTCCGGTCATTTTCAATCACTTTTTATAAAATATATATAGTTTCCAAGCCCTTACTTACTCTATCCAACCAGAGCAACAGAAAAGAGAAACAAGAGAGAGAGAGAGCTGTTTGAAAAGTCTGCTTTGAGCCAAGTCTGTAGGGCCAAGACTACCGGCCACATATTTATTTTAAACACTGTTATGGGGCGTAAGTTTTCTTGTGGTTCCGACAATGATACTGCACATGTCTTCAAAGCCAGAGGAGGGCTGTAGAAGCACTTTAGGCAGGAGGATTCCAATGGATGACCCTTAATGCCTCCTCTGGGCTCTATAATTCACAAACATGTTTTTAGCCAACTTTAAATTTCAATTGTCATACAGGTTCCAGATGGACTTGGTCAAATTAACAGGTGGGGATGACTCTCCAGGCAAAGGTCCATTCAGCGGCCAGGGCGGAGCCTTCCTGGGTCTAAGCCGCCGCTGCCCTCAGGCAGTCAGGTTTACCCTACAGACAGCTGCTGGCCTCTTACCTACAAGTCTCAAACCCAATGCTCAGGGCTTTCTCCATCTGAGCCATGGTGGGCAGGGTGCTATTGAAAGCCTTGCAGAGGTCAGCAGCCTCCGTCCGTGAGATGCTGTAACGGCCATTTTTCTCCACGTGGTATATACCAGCATATCGGCAAGTTATGTTCAAATCTATAGGATAGAACAGAAAGGTTAGATTCTTTTGCTAAGTGATTTGGAAAGACTAAGAAGTTCATTTTAGAGTAACCCAGTGCTATTGAGTGGCTCCTGACTCCTAGCGACCCTGAAGGATAGAGTGGAACTGCACCATAGAGTTTCTAAGGCTGCAACTCTTTCCAGGAGCAGACTGCCTCATCTTTCTCCCATGGATTTTCCGGTGGGTTCAAATTACCCACTTTTTGGTTAGCAGCCAAATGCTTTAACCACTCCACCACCAGAGTGCCTCCATTTTAAGGCAGACTTATTAAAAAGCCAAATGACCAGTCTTCAAAATTCACTCAACATTCCTAAGCACCATTACATGAAGTTCAAATCTGGGATTAAACATGGGAAGTAGCATCACTCTCACATTCTCTTCATCTGTTTGCTCCACAACAAAATTAAAAAAAAAAAAAAAAACACGATTTATTTCTGATTATTAAAGCAATCCAAACTCCTCGAAAATTCACAAAATGCAGGGAAATGATGCAGGTCCTCAGGTGGCACACATGGTTTGTATTCTACTACTTAATCAAAAGGAGCTCTGGTAGCATAGTGCCTAAGGCACTTGACTGCTAACCAGAAGGCTGTCAGTTCAAACCCACCAGCCACTCCTTGGAAGGAAGATGGGCAATCTACTTCTGTAGTGATACTGCCTCGGCAACCCAAGGAGGGGTTGCTATGGGTCGTGGCCGACTCGACGGCACATAACAGCCACAACAAAAAAGGTTAACGGTTCAAACACACCCTGCAGTGCCATGGAAGAAAGGCTTTGCTTCTGTAAAGGTTACAGCCAAAAAACCTTCTGGGGCTCAGTTCTACTTGGTAGCACTTGGGGTTACCATGAGTCAGAATTGACTCATAGGAATTGGTTTGGTTTTTTTGGTTTAATGAAGGAAAAGCAAGTCCACCGCTCAGAAAACTACACCAAACATTTTACTCTATCTTCTTCCAGTTTATTTTCTGGAGATAAACATTATTGTTTTGAGCTACCATCAAGTCAGCCCCAGACTCCCGGTGACCCCATGCAAACGGAATTGAAGCACTGCTCAGGCCTGCACCACCCCCATGACAGGGTGTCGCTAGAACTACTGTGCTCCCAAGAGTTTCCAGTGGCTCGTTTCTGGAAGCAGATCACCAGGCCTTTCTTCCTAGTTTATCTTACTCCAGAAGCTCTGCAGAAACCTGCTCAGCATCATAGCAACATGCAAGCCTCCACTGACAGTCAGGTAGTGGCTGCACATGAGGACAATTGTCTGGAATCAAAGCTTCATTGGATAGTTGCAGATCCAGGAATCCATCTACCCACATAGGAAGAGGTCACTAGTGTCTTGTCATGAAGACTAAAAACAGAGCTAGCCCCCCAAGAGTTTCTTTATCATACACACACACACACACACACACATACATCTATATACATATATACATATACAAATATATACACATACATACATATATACACATTATATATACATGCATATATACACACACATATACATACATCTATATATATATTAGTTGAAATAGCACTGAATACAGTTTCAGTCTGGGAATCCTTGCATTTAATATTGCATTATGTGCAGTTTCTCACAGTCAGGTGGTGTCACTCTGTTGCTTATAACCTCCAATGGCTTCTGGTTGTGCCCAGAATGAATTTCCTTATCATTGCCAGTGGGAGGAGCCCTAATGGTGCAGTGATTAAGAGCTCAGCTGCTAACCAAAAGGTTGGTGGTTTGAAACTACCAGCCACTCTCCAGGGGAAAGATATGGCAGTCTGCTTCCATAAAGATTTGCAGCCCTGGACACTCGATGGTGCAATTCTACTCTGACCTGTGGGACCACCATATTTTTTGGCCAGTGAGACCTCCATGATCTGCCTTCTGTCTTCCTCTCACCTTCAAGTACCTCACTTGCTCCAGGAACAAAGTTTTCCTTCTGTTCCTTCAGACACTGAGCTCATTCCCATCTTACCCAAAATACATTGCTATGGAACTGATTCCAACTCATAGCGACCCTATAGGACAGAGTAGAGCTGTAACCTTTAAAGAAACAGACTGCCACATCTCTCTCCCATGGAGTGACTGGTGGATTCGAACAGCAATCAAGTACTTAACCACTGGGCCACCAGGGCATTGACATATGCTCCCCTCTCTGTCTGGAGTGTTCCATCTTCAGATCTTCACATGGAGGTTTGTTTTTGCTGTTTAGGATTTCAACTCCATATCCCCTCACGTCAGAGTTCTTCCCTGAGGATCTTTATGCAATTTCCACCCTCTCCCTCACCTCATCCTGCTTTTGTGCCTTCATTGCAACTTGTTTCTTTATTTGTGGAATTGATTGTGATCTGTCTCCTCTTTCTGTGATGTAAGCTCCAAGAAAGCAAAGGCTTTTGATTCATTTATGGTTTCCTCTCTAACTCTTACAACAGTGCCTACATAAAGTAGATATACCACAAATATTGATTGAATAAATGAATGGCTCATTGAACTGTGCCCCAAAAGACACTTTTAACATATTGACATATTCAAGAGTGAAAGCTATTGATAATGGAAGGCAGACTGCTGCTATACACTGACTACAGAATTATTTAAGACAAGGATTTTTGTGAACTTCATACACAAAGTTTTACAGACACTAATCTGAAACCTCAGTAGGGAGCCAAAAATTACCCTGTTATGCCTGATCCTGTATGACAATCTCAGAAGACTTCAAAGACTTTAATTGAAATTTGTTCTTCTTCTGGGACTGTATTATCCCTCTTTTATGGTTGAGTAGATCCCGCTGCAGAGTTTAAGTCACTGAAACTGACCTGGTGAAGCATGGTTCCTCTTGAGCACCTCTCTGAGCCTCAAAGACAGTCCTCTAAGGAAGCACACCACTGACATGGACTCTGGCCTACCCTGGGGCTCTGTACACTTGGCCTGGTCCCACTGTGTATCCGTTAATAGCCAGGTCTGGATTCAGACAGAACTGACTTAAATTGAGACTCCATCTCCCACTTGGGCACATCTTGAGTGACATAAGTCACACACAGAAGGACAAATACTGTATGCTCCCACTTACATGATATATCCAGAGTAAGAACATTCATAGAGACCAAAGTTCATTAGTGGTTGCCAGGGGCAGGTGGGAGTGGAAAATGAGAGAGGATTGCTTAAGGGTTAAGGTTTTTGTCACAGGTGATGAAAAAATCTAATGGTGTCCTTCAAGCACCTCATGCAACACTTGGCTGATGAGGCAATAGGAGCACAGAAGAAGGAAATGCACAAGGCCCTTTTGAAATACTATTTGTTTTCACTGACATTTTCAGCTTTGGCCTCAGTTGGCTAATCTTAGCAAAGGGAAACTGTCACTCTGTGTGACAGCCCTCCTGGTGACTTTCCTTGTCTTGCATACAAAAGAAAAACAGAGACTCTAACCCAGCCCTTGGGAAGGTGAGGCTGATGGGAGGAATTCAGCCAGATGCCAGGACACACTAACTGCCTAATGGGACAACCTGGCCCTGGTGGCTGCTGTTTGAGGCATGGACAGTGGAATGGAGCCAAGTGACAGATTATCCCTTAATCGATTAATTCTAGCTTGCCACCTGGCAAACAGAATATGCAAAGGTAAAGAACTAAGTCAAGCTGAGACTTCTGAATAAAACCCCTTGAGTTTCATGTGTAGCAGACAATGTACATTTCCAATGATATGAGTATGCATTGTGTGAATGTGTATATATATATATATATATATATATATATATATATGTATGCCAGTGAATGTGAAGGTGTATCAGCCAAGACAGGATATGAGACAACAAACTCAAGCTTCAGCCTGCTTAGACTGCAAGACTTAAACAGGGCCTGACACATAGTAGGGCCCCAGCAAAGGGTTACTGGATAAATGAAGAAATTCTATTCAAACTCAAAATTCTAGTTTACACTTATCTTAATTTCATGAAAAAGGTCAAACTCACAATCCTGAGGGCATTTTCACATTTAGCACTACAAAGATGGTGCCAAACACTTCATTTCAAGTCAACTGTCCTACAAGCACTCATAATCTCTCTTCTCTGCAACCCTTTTGCTTTAAAAGGGACCAAGCCTTCAGGTGTGTGTGTCATTTAAGTCCTAATAATTCATGAAGATGTTCAAACAGGCTTCTTAACACTTCTATAAACCCAAATTATTACCTCCAAGGGTATTAATAATACCAACAACAATGGTAACTAATACTTATTGTGCACTTTATATATGTATGTACACCAGGTGCTGCTGTAAGTGTGTTACAAGTATTAACTCATTTTATTCTCAAAACAACCTTATGAGCTAAGTAATACTATTATCCCCATCTTCCAGATACATGAATTGAGGCACAAAGAGGGGAAGAAACATGCCCAGGTTCACAGTAGTAGTGGTGGAGCCGGGATTCAAACACAGTCAGTTTGGTTGTCAAAGGTTCATATGCTTAATTAACTACTAGTCTACAATTCCTAACCACAATTTAAGAAACTGCTTATGACTTCTTTACCTGTTGAGTGCATGGCTGAGGATATTCTCAAGGTTTAGGCAAAGTTAAAGTAAGGTTGAGGTGTGAGTAGCCATGGATCACAAAATAATCAATGGACAGGGCACCAGTTTTTGCAGTGATGGCGCTAATCCCAGCAGGGAAGTGGGACTTCTGAGACATATGCGTGTTCCTTCTGAGAAACAGAAACCTCTGGATTTGGGACCTACTGTGACTCCAAAGGCTGATACTGAAGAGCCAGTTGCATCTCTCAAACGAGCCTTGCCAACTGGCTATAAATCAAGAACATTTTCCGTTGAGCCCTCAGAGCTCCCATAAATCTTCTGTATCACATAACAGATAGACTGGCCCAAGTCCCTCCCTCTGAGGCTGAATGGGCAGGGAAGCAACATTAACTATTTGAGGCCACTTTCAGATGTTCAGGGAGGAGCTTCTCAGAAGAGAGGAAGTTGACCAGAGAGAGA